GCGCACACACACACACACACACACACACACAAAGTAAAAAGTGCTGACCCCAGACATCAGTGCCCATGACAGAACCCCCCCCAACCCAGCCAGCTTCGGTTTATTTACTCAACAAATGCTTGAGCTCCTACTAGACACCAGGCACTGATCCAGACACGGAAATTCTGCATTGACCAAGACGGACAAGGTCTTTCTCTGTGGTCAGGAAGCCTCTTTTGTAATAAGAGGAGACAAACAATAAATGAACACGGTGAGAAAGAGAATGAAGTGGGGGGAGCTCGCAGAGAAGAATGGCGGGGGAGCTGGTCTACAGGGTGGCCAGGCCTCGCTGAGGACGTGATGTTTCAGCTGCACCCTCCTTGACAGGAAGAAGCCAGCAGGACAAGGTTACAGAATAGAGATTCCAGGCGGAGAAGAGCCAGGGCCAGGCCTGGGCCAGGGGGTCAGCTTGGCTTGTTCGGCAAACAGAAAGGCGGTGGGCAGGGCATGGTGGGTGAGGGGTGGGGGGAAGTCAGTCAAGAGGCAGCCCAAGGCTGAAGGTGTAAGCAACAGAGAGGAGCGTCTGTGAGGTGCTCTGCCATGCCGTTGGGGGAGGGAAGGTGGCCTGACTGACCTCCTGCTCTTCTCCCAGCAGCCACCAGGCAGCACGACCCTCCGCGTCCCTGCTGCTGGCCTTTGTCGGCTGATGTGCCCCATCAACCTTCTGTGGAAACCAGCCCTCTGGGCTGACAGACCCTCTGAGGAACCCCAGAAGCCCGGCCAGGGACCCACTTAGGTGACCCGCTGGATTTTGGAGGAAGTGCCGCCCACAGTGCTGCCCGGCCAAGGGAATTTTCCCAGCCTGTTCTGGCAAGGTTGGCCAACCGAGCAAACCAAGACCACTGAGTCAAATGAGCTTGACACTGTATAGTCACTGGGCAGCCTTCCAGTGAGCAATTCCAGAATAGGGCAGGAACCCTCCGACCCCAGCTCCACTCTGCCCTCTGTCCGGCCCGTGTGCTGTGGGAAGGACAGTCAGATGGTCACCCCAGTGTATGCTTTAGTCCAGAAGCTCAAGGCCTTCTGATCATGGGACCCGTTCTTAGAGATAGGGGTGGGGCTGGGTGGTGTTACATCAGCTTTTCCCCACAGAATCTCTTATTTCCTAAGAGGGTGTAAAGAAGCTCAGTACATAAAACAGACGAAAGCTTTGCCTCCCTGATGGAGCCAGGACACGCCTCCCAAGCCCATCCCCATCTTTCTTTGCCCTCACTTCCTGGTAGCTCTAGGCAGTGCTTGTGCACTCTGGCCTCAGTTTCCTTCTTTGTCAATGCGCAACTCGACTCAGTCTCCCTACCTCAGCTGGCCGCTCAAGTCCACTCGCCCTTGGCAGCAGAGCTCTGAGAAAAGTCATCAAGGGCCCCTCCCACGCAGGGAGAAACGGGTGCCCGAGTTGCACACCCACGCGCGTGGCAGGGTCTGCAGCGCAGAGCAGGAGGGCAGCCCCCCAGCTGCCCGCCGGCATCCTGCATGACAGGCGAGCAAACTGCGAGAACCAAGCACCCCCACAATTGTGGGGCAGTAATTGGCACCACGTGTCCCTTCGGCAAGCAGTGCCCGAGGAGCAGGCCCCCGTCTGAGGCAGAGTTGTGGCCTCCCGGGCCGATGGCGGGCTCTGGGGCCCGGCTCTGCCTGGGGTGCACTCAGGGCTTCCTTGGGCCTCGGTCACCCAACAGTTAATGCATTTCCTCTTGACTGACAACCAGCACAACACCAAAACAGTCAACTATTTTTATCTCCGGATTAATCACAAAAGGCTAACGCTTCCACCTTCCCTGTGATTAAAAATTAGGAGACCAAACTCTATAGTGGTTCAGGATAATAACCAATCCTGTGAGGGCGATGTATGAATAATGCATCTCCGGGCTCCGGCGGCTGGCGCCTCCCCCCCCCCCACCCCACCCCACACCCAGCAGCCCCAGCTCTGGGCCCGGTCTGAATGGAGAGGTAATGAGTTGCCCCCTTCCATCCGCGCTACAGCTGCCAAGAGCGACTGTTGATTTCAATTCAGCCTCCTGGCCCCCAAACATCCTCCCTCCTCACCCACTCCCACCCTGCACATCCCAGCCCCATCCGCACCCCCTCCTACCCCATCTGGTGTGCAGCGAGGCGAAGGCCAATCAATAATGCATAGCTACATGAATAACCGCATGATAACCACTTATTTAGGAAGATATAATCAGGACCCATTCTGAGGATGGATGTTTGTGTGTGTGAGCGTGCACGCGCGCCTGGGTACTCATGAAGCAGCGTCCCACTCTCCTCTCCCGTCCTCCGTGCTCCCTCTAATCCAATTTTCCAAAACACAGGACTAGAACCGCAAGCAGGAAACTTGGCCCCTCACTGTATTTGGTTTTTAGAAAGACCTCCTCGAGCTCTACGCTGTGATCACAGTGTGCTATGCGCCTGAGCAAAGGCCCAGGGACAGTTGGTTCTCAAACCTGCTCACGCACTGGAACCTCCCGAGGCTTGGGGTCCACCTCCGGAGATTGGAATTTAGTTGGTTAGGGTGCGGCCTGCCAACGGGATTTTTAAGGTCTCCCCCAGAGTCTTGTACTATGCAGCCAAGGTTGGAAACCACTGTCTCGGACCCAAGAAATGTCAGTGCCAGAAGGAACTGTCCAGATCTCCTGTTGTCCTTTCATATTTTGTGCCTGGGGAAATAAAACCAGGAGGAGGGACAGCCTGCCCCAATTCACCTTCTGATTTAGGGCACTTTCCTCAAGACCACAGCCCCTGGCTCTTCACTGGGGAGTCCCGGAGACAAGGATGGCCTGGTGTTTCTTCTATTCCTGGAGCTTCGAATGGTTCTTTCCAACTTCTCTGGCTCTCAGGCTCAGCCAGAGCGCCTCCATCCTGGACACCTACTGGAAAGAAAGCTGCCACCACAGAATAAAGGGGGGCAAGAGCCCCAGCCCCGGCCCTCCCTGCTGGAAGGGGCCCAGCATTGCATAGAGCTAAAATTCCCCTCATCAGCAACTGTCACACCCACCCCCCATTTGTGGAAAGCCCTCATTAGCCTCCCTTTTGCTCTCCGGCCACACCAGCACCAAGGAGGCCTCTGGCACTAATGAGGGAGTTTGGGGTGGGCGGGGGTGGGGGAGTTGTCCTGATCATCCAGCCCGCAACCAACATCTGCCTGAGCCCAGAGCCCCCTGGGGAGGCTGGGCAGGGTTGGATGAGGCCAACTGCCTCTCTGGGCCAGGATCTCCGGTGGAGTTCTGGGGCTGTTGATAGAATCTTGGAAACCCCGAGGGTTTGTTTTTCCTCAGAAAATAGAAACTTGGGGGCTGGCACTCACTGGGCTATAGTTCTGAACCAGGCCTCCTCCAGGCCAGGAAGGAAGCGGGCACAGCCACAAGCTGAAGGTGCTGCTTTGGGTGTTTACCTGGCCCCAGAGCCTCCTGGAGTCTCCTGGGTGCACTAGGAGAGTGGCAGATAGGGGAAGGCCCTGGGAAGGGGAGGGAGTCAGGCAGGTTGTGGGCACGAGGTCCTGGGGGGAAGAGGGTGGAAGGCACAGCCTGCTGGACCAGGACCAGCCTGGCACCACTGTCTGTCCGTCTTCCCTGATCCCCCAGGGCAGAAGCTTGCATGGGGCCTGGATGGAAGCAAGGACTTTCTCTGGCAATTGGGCAAAGAAGGCCTTTTGTGCTAAGACCCCAACCCATCATCACCTGATTTCCCCTTCATCCATTCGCTCAGCAAACATGCAGCTAGCTCAGCCCTCTTCAAGCCTCAGAACTGACTGACGCAGCCCCTCCTGAGGGGCCGGGGAGGGGGTGGGGGGAGAAGCCCAGGGACTTCCCAAGTGGTCTCCAGGGAGCCCTTCCCCTTCTGCGGTTTGTCCGTTTGTCTAAGGAGGAGAGGCGGGAGCCGCAGAGGCCTGAGACCCCCCCCCCCATGTGTCCCTAAGCACCAACATCAGAAGAGGCTCTGTGACCTTAGGCCAGTCATTAAACTTCTCTGGGCCTCTCCTCCAGGTGATGGTCATCTATCATCATAAGTGCCCATCCTACATCCCAGGGTCGTCAAGAGGATCAAAGGGGTTGACTCCAGTGGACTTGGCAAATGTTTATGGAGTGTCCGCCAGGGACCGGGCCCTGTGCTGGGCTGGGTGAGAGATGCAGCCGCTGCAGAGACATCTTCCCCACGTTGGCATGCCCCATCTCTCAGGAGCCACGAGTCTCTGATCACCCCTCTGTGAAATGCCACGGGAGAAGTGGGCAGCAGAGATTCATCCTAGCTCTGAGATGAGGCAGTTGGAGCCGTTCTGGGAGAATCAAGTTCCTAGGAGGTGCCAAGGGTCGCACAGCCCTCTGAAACACTGTCTCAGCCTTGCAAGGTTGCCTGCCCCCTGCCCCCTGCCCCTGCAAAGGCAGGGGACTGGCGGTGAGCTGCAGGTGTCAGAGGCCCTGGCTTGCGGCCCTGGCTCTGGCGCCCATTCCCCAGCGACCTTGAGCAAGTCACTTAATCCTGCTGAGCCTCGATTTCCAGAGCTACGTAACTGGGGTAATAATAATGTTTACCTTGCAAGACTGTTGTAAGGATTAAATCAGACAACAGATGTGACAGTGCTTGTTTAAAAAAAAGAGAGAGAAGTTAAAAAGAAAGAAAGTACAGATATTATCTTGGCAGCAGAGCTTTGCTTCCCAGTCTGATCTGTGAAACGGAGCTAATGATGCCTGCCCTGTCCCCTCACAGGCTCATCGTGAGCCTCGGATGAGATGATGGCATGAACATCGGCTGCAAATAAACATGCAGTGCGTATGTCAGGGATTATTGCTGTTTCTGCTATTATTGTTATAATACAAGGGGATTATACATTTTATTAGAGTATGATAATTATTGTTTGTCATCGGCTCCATAAAATCCACCCAGGCCAGCCCACCAGCCTTGCCGGAGGGGACCAGCGCCCTCAGTCTGACCTCTCTACTCCTCTCCCCCCCCTGCCACTCCCGCAGTGCCACCTGATGACCCGGTCATCCTGGGGGGGCCTGTAATCAGCCTGCGGGCCGGGGACCCCCTCAACCTCACCTGCCACGCGGACAACGCCAAGCCTGCGGCCTCCATCATCTGGTTGCGAAAAGGAGAGGTCATCAATGGGGCTACTTACTCCAAGGTGAGGCCTGGGGGCAGGAGGAGGGGCGGAGCCGCGCGGGCAGAGCCCACTTTCCCCAACTCTGCCCTTCTCGTTCTCTGTGTGTGCTTTTTGTCTCTCATTCTTTGTTTCTGGGTCTTTTTCTCTCTCGCTTCATGTCACTTTTTCCCTCTCGCCCTATGTTTCTATTTATCTGACCTTTTCTGTCTCGATGACTGTGTAACTCTGTCTTCCTCTCTTCTTTCCTGGGGTAATTCCTGGGGCTCCCTAAGAATAGAGTAAGGTCGGAGGTGGAGGCTCAAGGACAGAAGTGGCCAGGGCCTAGGGTTGCTAGATAAAATCACCCAGTTAAATTTGAATTTCAATATAAGTATATCCCAAATATTGCATGGGGCATAATTATGTGCCATACTTAGACTAAAAAATTATCCACTATGTATCTGAAATTCAGATTTAACTGAGTGTCCTGGTATTTTTATGTGCTAAATCTGGCCAACTTTCCAGGGCTACCAGGTAAGGCTGTTTAGGTTCTTCCCTGTCCAAGACGCCTGACTCAGGAAGTCCAGCCCATAATCCTTCATCATGCCTTGCACCTGAGATACCTACCTGCAGGGGTGTTTTTCTGTAATTCACACAAGGTGCCATGAGCCGGAAATGCCTTGAACTGGCCCCTGTATTAGTTAGGTTTTTATTTTCTATATTTTATTTCTATAAAATATTCTGTATTTTATTTTTCTATATTTTATGATGCTTTGACATCTCAAAGCCTTGTGAATGAGGAGGGACTGCCACTCCCAGGCTTAGCTAATTCCTAGAGACAGCAAACCACATGCTGAGAACATGCCTTTGGTATGCAAACAATCCTGCATCCAGACCCTCACCACCTCCTTTTAGCCAGCTAGGAGTCCCAGGTGCTAGCCTCCACCCCTAAATCCTCAGGGCCAGGTACTGGATAACTGGAGATCAGTCCTATAGCCTAGAGCTTGTGCAAATTATTCAAACCACCCAATCCTAAAACCTTTCAGCTGCTCACCCTGCTTTGTCCATTCTTTCCCACAAGAACCATGATAAAGGCTTGCACCACGTTTTCCCTGCCTCCCGACCAACCCAGATGCGTACCCTGTGACCCTATGTGGAGCGGGGCTCCCCCTCCTCTAGGGAGCTGTAACAAAGGACCTTCCTCATGGCAGTCATCTCCTGATCTGCTGGCCTCAACCTACCTGAAGAAAAATAAAATCCCAGGTACATGTTAAAGCCGCCCCCACCAGACTCCACTCAAGGAAATTGTAAATAGAGTCCCAGACAGCGTTTATATACCACAGAGTCTTTGAAGATGAACAGGACCATGGAGGATGGCCAGTCTGGTTCCCTTGATCTACAGCTAGAAAGCCAAGGCCTGAAAGAGAAGTGACTGCCCTTCTCAGTTGGTGAGTGGCCCGGACGACAGTCTCGTGGTGCCCAGGGCCATGTCCCTTCCTGTATTCCCTCCCAGTGCAGCTTCAGACGGAGGGGCAGCTGCTGAGAGGTCGAGTCCGGCCCCAGGGCCAACCAGCACGCCCAGGCTCAGACTGGAGGTCCAGGCCTCCAGCACCCCAGCTCTCCTCTCCCTGTGGCTCTCCTTGGCTTCAGAAAGTGGGGAGATGTGTGACCCATTCCCCACCCGCCCCCCACCCCACCACCAGCTCCTCTTCCTGGGTCTTGAAAAGATAAGCAAGGCTTTCATCACCAGTGGAGGGTATGAGGCCAGAATGCTGCTTCTCTGGGGGTGTGTCCTGTCCAAAGCTGACACCTGGCCAAGGAGTCAGCCCCGGGGCTGCTGATCAAGGCCCCACCCGCCTCTGGGCCCTCACCCAGAGTCTGGTGCCAGAACCCCGGACAAATGCCTTCCATCCGGTACAAGTTCACCCCGGTGGGGGACCGGGGTGGGGGAGCACTGAGAAATAAATCCCTCACTCACTCACATCGGGGCTGGAGCCACCCCTGTTGTGTTATGAAATACAAAAATTTGGCAGAGGGACTATATCATCCAGACGAGGATAAAAAGGCAGGCAAGGGGTGCTCCTTCCCCGCTGGGCATCTGTCCAGTCCCTCCTTGAAGTTCGGCCAGCCTGGCCCCTGCCAAGGTTTATGTCCTGCCGAGGACACACCCCCATCTGGTGAACAGAAAGTTCAGAGTCACCCGGCTGCGCCTTGTCCAGGGGTCACCTCGCCCCAGTACGTGGCGTCATCCATGTGGAGAAGGCCCCTCCGAGAGCCTGGCATGGTGCTACAGCAGACCAGGGCAGGAGGCCACGCTAACCCTCTGCACCGCGCCCCCCGACCCCAGCCCTGATCACACTCCTGCAGGGAGACGACCAGCGTGGCAGCACCAGGCCACGAGGGGCTGGGGTTCCAGACCCTGCTCTGTGAACCTCAGGAAAGTCATTCCTTGGGCCTCAGTTTCCTCTTCTGTAAAACAAAGGAGTTGGATCAGACACTCTGTATGAGTAGGCTTGAGTTGCCATAACAAAATGCTACAGACCAGTGGCTTAAACAACAGACATCTGTTTCTCTCAGTTCCGGAGGCTGGAAGGCCAAGATCTAGGTGCCAGTAAGCCTGGTTCCTGGTGAGATCTCTCTTCCTAGCAGACGGCAGCTTCTCTCTGTGTCCCCACATGGCCTTTCTTCTGTGTGTGCAGAGAGACAGATCTCTGGTGTCTCTTCCTCTACTTATAAGGACACCTTAGCGTGCTTATGGCCTCATTTAACCTTAGTCACCTCCTCAAAGGCCCGATAACCATAGATACTCACACTGGGGGTCCGGGCTTCACCATATGAATTTGGGGCGGGGGGCACACAGCTCAGTCCGGAGCAGGTGCCTGCCAGCTCTAACAAGCTACAAACCTACGATGTGGAGCACCCAGAGAAGGGTGGGTGACCCAGCAGTGCTCACGTGGAACCAGCTCTAGGGGCCACCAAGTCCGCCCCTCTGCCTCCCGCTCCTTCCCCGGGACTGCAAGGACCAGTTACAGTGGCACTTCTGATGACCCGAAGGCAGAGCTGCCCCCACAAGCTCTGCTTAGGGTCGGGGGAGGAATGTGAGCAGCTGAAACAGAGACAGAAACAGAGCATTCAAATGCACACACAGTCAAGCAGCACCCAGGCGCCCAGCATCTACAGAAAAGATCGTCTGGGGCAGCCCAGACAGCCCTGAGGTCTGAAGCCCTCAGTATTTGTCACCTGGTGCTGGTGAAGCCCATGGGCCCCGGAGCTGGGCAGCCTCACTTCGAATCCAGGCTCCACCCCCTTCCAGCTCTGTGAAGGTGAGCAAGCAAGCTACCTAACCTTGTGGTGCCTCAGTGTCCCCACCTATACGGTGGGAGCGAGAACAGCGCCTGCCTCAGAGGATAGCTGTAAGGCTCAAAGGAGAAGAGTGCCTGGCTGGCAGGCTCTCTGCCCGGCCCTCGCTTGAGCCTCTCGGACCCCAGGGTGCACCTTGCTCTCCCCTTTCCTAGATGGGAACGTCAGCGTCACTGCAGGGCTCCATCACATATTATGGTAACTTAGGCTCTCTGCCTCAGTTTCCCCAGCTGCAAAACAGGGTGCGGTTAGCCACGGGCGCCCAGGAGGGTTGCTCTGAGACTCGAAAGGAACGATGTACAGAAAGCACCTGGCAGAGAGAGTGCTAGCCAGTCGTGTTAGACCCTCCTCTCAGATCTCCATCCCAGGTCCGCCTCCCTGGAGGTCATCCAGCAGCTCTGGTTTCAGGCAACCTTCTTTCTGCTATCCAGCATGTGGCCAGCAGGGTGGAGGATGGTGTCACTGAGGATGGCCAGGCCCCTTGCCCTGGGAGGAGAATCAGGAAAAAGAAGTGCCCTCTGCCTCCCCACCGCCCCCAGCACAGGCTGTGGTACCTCTACTTGGACACCCTGGTGGCCCGGGTGCTTGGGTGAGCGCCTGGGACTCTCGGCGGGTGTCTGTCTGCGGAAGCAGCGGAGCTGGTGCCAAGGCCTCTCTCCAAGTCCTCTCCTCCTGGATGCCGCCAGTCATATATGTACTTACCTTGAAGCCCGTTACTCTCCAGCCCTACCTGTCTGCTCCCTCCAGCTTCAGGCTGCTGCCTGCCCAAGGGGCCCCCCCCCCCCCCCCCCCCCCGACCAGGAGCCCCCTTAGGGCCCTGTGCTAAGAGGAACTCTGGAACAGCACCCCTTCAGGCTCTCACTGGGGCCCAGCTCCCTCCATGAGCCCCTTCCGCCGTGTATTCTCTTCTAGCAGTCATCCCAGCACCCCCTCCATGTTTCTCTTAGGGGCCTAGAGTCTCCACGCAGCAAGGCAGTTGCCACCCATCTTGGCCTTCTTTGTGAAGGGCATCCGTTCTCACCCAGGGCACAAGCCTGGGGTCCCCGAGGATGCAGGGTCTGGGGCAAATGGCCTTGTGGTTCTCCACCTTCCCTTACAGCCCCCATTCGAGCCACGTGACAAGAGGCCTTAATGGATCCTCCCCCCCCCACTCCTGCCCCAGGCAGCTATAAAAAGGGGAAGAAGAGAGAAAATTTAAAAAAAAAAAAAAAAAAAAGGACACAGCAGGTGGGGGGGGTGAGTGAGGAGGGAGAAGAGGAAGGCCTTGTTGCCAGGCAGTCGGGCCTCACGCAAGGGCTTTCCAGGCTGTTTGCATATCAGTGAGCTCCCCAAATTTAGCACCAGGGCTGGGGCACCCACCCTCTGCACTCCCTCCAACCTCCACACTGCACGCCCCGCTCCACCCCGTCATCTGTGGTTCCCACGCAGGCATCACCAGGCTGCCCGCCTCTTGGTGGGGCCTCTGGGCTCCCCACTACCCAGCTGAGGCCCTGGGGGCTTTGGGAAGAGCTGAGCGAGCACTGCTGCCTACACTGGACAACCACACACAGGGTACACGCTGGCCCCCCGCCCCAGCCCCACCTCCGGGCCTCTGCCAATTGAATGCCAAGTGCCTGCCCTCAGGGATGGCGCAGTGGGGCTGGGGGCACAGGAAGCTGCACCCGGCAGGCAGGGTCTAGAGACGCCTCACACAGCCACCGGGACGGATAGTCTGGAAAGCTTAGAAGCTGTTCGTGGATGGAGGCGCATGGACCCACACACAGGCCGAGGGGCGGAAAGCCCACCGTGCGCAGGCCCCTGCCCCGCATCTCCACACACAGGTGAGCTGGGGTCCTGGTAGAGCCACAGGAGCCCCCAGCGAGGTCATGAGAGCCGGGCTGGGGGACTGTGAGGCCGAGATTTGGCAGCACGCTCCTCCCGACCAAGCTGGAGGAAGGGCCTTGGAGGTGGTGGCCCCAGAGACAAAGTGACTTGCCATTCATAATCCACTTACCCTCCCTGAGCTGATTTGCATTCTATTATAGGTTTCTGGAGCAGGAGGTGGGAGGCTGGGGCCCAAGGTGTGTCCCCAGAGCCCAGTTCGGTGAAGGGAGACCAGGAGAGGGAGAGGAGGGGAAAGCTGGCTGGGATGAGGACCTGCAAATGATAGAATGTTCCACCTGGCCTGTACCTTCAAGGCCACCACAAAGTCCAAAGGCTTCATTTGTATGTGAGAAAAGGGGAGACTGGGGAGATTTGCAAGAGGGGAATGAAGGAAAAGAGAGAAGAGAAAGAGAATAAGGAAGGACTGAGGGAAGAAGGGAAATAGGTTGAGAAGACCGAGGCCAAGCGCTGGCTGCAGAGCCACGGGCCGGGGAGGTGGGGGTCAGCTTTACACCTGCAGGTGGGCCCGTCTCCCCGGCCCTTCCCAGAACATCCTACCTACACCATGCCTGCACCCTGGCCTCTCCCTGGGGACACCACCCGGGGTCCGATCCCTGGGAGCTGGGGCCCAGGGTGAGATGCTCAGCTTCCCAGGGGAAGCCAGCTGCTGAGGCCCTGCCTTCCCCTTGCTCTCCCCTTGGTTAATGAACACATCTCCCTTTTCTCTAATTAGGTGGAACAAACAACTTGAACCAGAATTTTTATTTCCCAGAAAAGCACATGCCCGGACACAGTAAATATGTCATTAATCATCATTCAGAGGCGCTGGAGCACCCTGGGTATGGGGAGGAAGGGAAGCAGTCAGAGGGCCTAATTAGGAGCTCCGGCCTCCCCGCTCCCCTCCGGCCAGCACCCTGGCAGCCCTGCTCCCTTCCACCAGGCGGGGAGCAGATCAATTGGAGAGGTGCCTGGCAGAGTCAAACTTCATGTAAATGTTCTTGTTAGCACAGCGTAAAAGTAAAGACAAGGGGATGAGGAGGAACCATACCGACCTCCCTCCCCGCCTCCCCCTCCCTCCCCCCTACCCCAGGCCTTACTTCCATCCAGGAAATTGTTCTTATTAACGCCTGGCTATTTATAGACACATGAAGTCTGCTGAAGAGTCCAGAACCGTTACTGTGATAGGGCTTGGCTTGGGGCTAAACCACACAGCCCCAGGCCCCCCAACCCCCCACCCCTGGGCCTATTCTGCTGGCCTCCAGTTTAGCTCCTGGCCCTGGGGCTGAGCTAAAGACCCTCATCACACTGACAGCCCAGCCCCTCCCCCTTGGCTTGCTGGGATTGACCCCATCACTCCCCCCAGCCCCGCTCCAGGACCCCTCTGCCCAGGGCTGAGGCCACCACCCCACGTCCCAGGAAAGAATGTACCATGGGAGCCTGCCCAGGCCCAGGTGGTTCTGGAACGTGGGCAGAAATAGTCCAGACCACTGCCCTGCTCTGTGGATCTCTCTGGCATCTTTGTCTAAAGCAGGATGCGCTTTCTAGACGATGGCTCAAGTCATGTGCTCCTAGTGCTGTAGGCCACCAGCTTTGCCCCAGCTTTGCTGGGAAGGACCACACAGAGCTGAGGACCCAGAGAGCAAGTTTCCAGCAGGCTACATGTAACAAAAATTCGACTAAGTAAATTTGAAGATCTAATTGGCTTTATTAAACGACTCATGAGTCAGGCGGCATCTCATCCGGCAAATAGAAAGGAGTTCCAAGGAAGTGTACAAAAACGGAAGGTTTTTAAAGGCAGAGATGGAGAGGGAAAAAGGAAGTTATTGGCAAAGAATGCCTCGTTTCGGGCACGGTCTCCCTTAGGGGAAACAGAAGGATGACCTCCCCCTGCCCACCAGGGGTTTCCAGGTTGGCCAGTTAAACGTCACATCCCAGGGGGGCCTGGGGTTTGAAACCACAGGAGGCTAGCTAGGTATTAGGTCTTGGTTTGCTGATGTGGGGCCCTACACGTAAGTGACTCCATTTTGGGCCGGCTGTCTCCTTTTTAGCACTGCTAAGTAGCTCAGTAAACTTAAAAGTCTGCTGAATCCCTCTAACTGTTCCCATCTTTAAGTGAAGATCTTACTAACCACAGTCTAGCTCGCAGGGAGCAGTGGTGGGAGGGTCACAGCCTCTGGGGTCACCATCCTCAAGCACAAATCCCAGCCCTGCCCGGCAAGTTTCTGACTCCCTTTGAACTAAGTTTTCTTTTCTATTGAATAGAGCCAGTGCTCCCTTCCTTTCAGGGTCTGGTGAGAACAGTACCAGTACTGTCTTCAGGGAGGTTTTGAGAAGTAAAGTCTATTCATCTATCCTCTGGCTCCAAGCAGGAGAAATTAGACAGCGTCTGGCACCCTTCTCTGGAGGGAGTTAAGTAGCTTCCCAGGATCAAAAGTCTCTGAGTCCTGAACAAGTCCAGTCCCACTTTGGAAGGGGCCCCTCTGCCTGACACATCTCCCCCAGCACCTACCTTGCTGGGTCTCGGTGACCTCAGGATGCTGGGCATCAAACCGCCGGGGAGGGAGCTGGGAAGGCGCACAGCATGGCCTCACTGGAAATGGAAGGAATGGAAGGCAGGAAACCAAAGGCTTTCAGACTTGCCTTTGTTTCCTAGGGCTGCCCTCTTGAAGTCCCGCAACCGGTGCTAAAACAACCGAAATGTATTGTCCTGCCTCCTGGAGGCCAAAAAGTCTGAAATCATGGTGTCGGCGGGCTGTGCTCCCTCCAGGGAGAGTCCTCCCTTATTGCCTCCACTCATGGTGGCTCCCAGAGTCCTTGGGCTTGTGGCCACATCACTCCCGTCTCTGCCTGTCTTCATATGACCTTCTTCCTCCTTCCTTTCTGTGTCTTCCCCTCTTCTTCTAAGGACACCAGTCATTATATTTGCCCCCCCACACACCACCCCACTGCCCATCCAGGATGATCTCCTCTTGCGGTCCTTCACTAATTGCGAATTACTTAGCTGATCTCCGAAGACCCTGTTTCCAAATCAGGTGACATTGTGAGGCTCCAAGACAACATGAATTTGGGGGAGACTCTTCAGCCCACTCTAGAACCCTCTCACCCCCAACTTGGAGTGTAAGTTTGGTACGGTTCTGCAGCCCCTCCTGGTCTTGCCTGTGTTCTCATCTGTCACGGGGAAGATAATGGCATCTGTCCCGCCTCTGGTTGGTCAGGCCTCTGATGAGGTCATGAAGTGACATGATTTGAAAAGTTGGAAGGGTTTACGTAGATAAAGTAATGAAATGGTAAGTGTGCATTGATTCTCCCTGCATCCCCAGCCCAGCCCTGCCCTTACCCCCGTGACCCAAGCTGCACCCCCTCCTACAGGTGACTTCACTGCCTCAGGGGGGGGGGCCACAGCCCCCCAGCTGCATGCACCTCAGTGCTGCCTGCAGACCCAGAGGCTTCCCCCAGACACCAGAGGAGAGACTTGCAGCCGGATTTCCTTTGGGGTATACAAGTCCAGGCTGATTTTCCCACGTGATCGAAGAGCTTCTAGTTCCTTTGTCCTTCTGCAGCCCAGGGCTCAGCCAGGCCAGGGAGTCACCAGTAACCCCCCAGCTCTCTGCAGAGACTCGCACCCCTGGCTGTCCAGAACTAAGGGCTCCTTCTTCTCTGAGGCTGGGCATGTCTTCCCATACCTGCCCAGGCCACCCCAGCTGAGTGACCTGGGGCCTTCTCTCCCTGCTCCCCCAGACCCTGCTGCGAGATGGCAAGCGTGAGAGCATCGTGAGTACCCTCTTCATCTCCCCTGGCGATGTGGAGAACGGGCAGAGTATCGTGTGCCGAGCCACCAACAAAGCCATCCCGGGAGGGAAGGAGACTTCGGTCACCATCGACATCCAGCGTGAGTACTAACTCGGCCCCCGCCAGCCGGGCCAGGCCTGGGGCAGGAACCCCCCCCCCACCTCCGGCACTCCTTGCCTGAAGCACAGGTTGGGGGGAAGAGCCAGGCCTGGATAACCAGGTCACCAGAGCCAACACCACAGCCCTGCGAGGTGTCTGAAGACAGGAAATGGGTCAGACAGCTCCCTGGACTGGCCGAGGTTGTGTTTGTGGGCACCCAAAGGGCTTGTCCTTATTGTCACACAAAGTAACGACATCAGATGAGGATCTTTTGCCAATGACTTGTTCAAGCCACATTTCCAAACCTGTATCAGGTAGAATTTTCCATGTCAACAAATATAAAGCAGGGCCCTAGCTCTGCTTTAACCCGGTGGCCCCACACGCTCCCTTGGCGAGAAAACCAGAGCAGAGGTACTGGGGTCAGCAGGGTGCTCAGAGCTCCAGAGTGGGGGAGGAGTGCATGCCCTACAGAGCGTGGGTACCCAGGGGGGCCTGCTCATGGAAGGGTTCAAGGAGAGAAGAAGAGGAAGAAGAGTAGTCTTTTAGTCAGCCCGTACTTTCCAGGAATTATTTCATCTTCACAACCACCATTTGAGTAGGTATGCTGGTGGTCCCTATGTGGGGAAGCTGAGGCACCCCTGGGTCAATCTGCTTGCCCAAGACCACCTAACTATCAAATGTAGACAGCCTGGCTTTCCGGAGCCTGCACCATAACCCCTCTTCTGCACTTGCGCACAGTAGGTCCTCGGCGTGTGTCAGTTCTCACGGTTAATGTCAACAGTCATGATGCGTTAAAGCTCCCCCAGCACCCTATTCCAAAAGTCACCTAAAAAGACTCCTATCCCTCTCCTAAAATCTCCCTACAGTGCCCGTCGGCCCCAGAGAACAAAAAAAAAAGTGCTCAAGAAGGTGGTCTGGCGGCCTCACTCCCAGTACCGGACTGGTTTGGGTCTGAAGGATCAGCACTCAGACATGGACTTTTCTTCCCGTAAATGCCCCTCCCTGCCAGGGAGCACGATGCCTCCATGTGCTGGGGGCTGTTTTGGTGCAGCCTAGAGCTGAAGGCTGGCATTCATTTCCTTCATATTATTTTATTCATTCTAAATTAAATTCATTTAAAAACCCCTGCCCAACAGCCTGGCTCATCTAAGGCTTCTGGATTCTGTGCTTCACGTGGCTCTGTAGGGCTCTGGGGCTGTGTCCTGGCCCTTCCAGGGCCCAGCTGCAGAGCCAGCGAGCAGAAGTCCCTAGTCTATCTAGAATCCTGGCAGCAGCCGCTGAGATTCCAGAAGGCAACAGAAACCGTTGTAACCCTGAGACAGGCTTGCTCCAAACACCCAGACACAGCAAGCCGAGTTCTTGGAGAAGGCTTTATCTTTCCCATCTTCACCACTCCCTCACCCCCACCAACTGGAGGCTTCTTCTTCTGTTCCTCATTTAATTAGAGTCAAGAAGAGCGGGGCTCTTGCCAGACCTGGGACCAGGGTGATGGGAGGGAGACGCTCACTCGGACGGGCCTCCCTGCCTGGCTGTCCATACCCACCTACTTCTTCCAAGGAGCAGCCATAGGCCCAGCTCTGGAGAGGAAGCAGGATGCTCTGGGGATCAAGTGGCCCAGCATCCAAAAAGGCTCCGCCACCCATGGGCTGTGCGGGCCGAAGCTTGTCACTACTCCGGAGATGGCAGTCCCTTGTCCTTTGACCGCATGATGTCCAGAGTTTCTTCTTGCCCTTAAGATTGACCGTGATCAGAGCTCTTTCCAAACACAAGCCAAATCTGGGACGAATGAGGGTGGAGGACACAAGAGACCCGAGCCTCCCACTGCCAGGCTGCTGGTTGTAGCCCCCACCGGTCCCCAATCTGGTCAGGAGGCCGACACCAGCTGCGCACAGAATCCTGCACACAAGGGGCCAGCCGGCAGGGGGCACCAGCAGTAGCCCCGCTCCCCTCCAGGCCATTATCCATCACGCCTGGAGAAGCTCTCCTGTCAACAAGAAAGCCATCATCCTAACAGCCCGCCAAGTATTAAAAGGCGCTCCTCTAATGTACTCTAATGAGATGATCCATTCACCAGGGCACACAGCAGAGAGTCTGCATCAGAGGGGGACACCAGGCTTGCCAGGTCTCTGTGCCCTGGCCGGATCTCTTTCCAAGGACGCCTCCGCCACACGAGGTGGGAGGCATCGGGCATTAGGTCCCAGAGAGGCTGAGGACCCGGGTGCCCGATTCCTAGGTCAGCCCCATCTGAGGCAGGACAGGGACGTGGTTAAGACCACAGCATTCCTCCTGGTTTAAATTCCGGCTCTGCCACTTCCTGAATGATGCCGGCCCGGTTCTTTAACTGCTATGCCTCAGTTCCCCCAGCTGTGCAAATGACAAATGCTGACTTCATATGGTGGCTGTGAGGGGGACGTTTCCAGCACAGTGCTCCGCACAGGGTGAGCATGCTGCAGCTGTGTGCTGTCCCCACCATGCGCAGTGCCCCTCTCAGCCCAAACAGGGGAGGGCTCTCCAGCCCCTTATCCCCTCTCTTGGAGGTGTTTGCGTGTGCCTGCCAAGCAAAAAAGCACACGCTCTCTCCACCACCTTCCCCCTGCCTCCTTCCTCCTCCATTTGTCCATTTGTTCATTCAATAAGCATCCAACTGTTTACTGTGGACACCATGGGCCGGATCAGAGCTGCCTTTACAAACCTGCTCCATTTTCTCAGTCAACCAAGAAGCATCCAAACTCAGCAAAAGCGCATTTGTTGTTTGTTTCCCTTGGTCTTTATATGTTACCCGACGGAAGACAAAGCCCCCAGATTGAGTAATGGGAGAGAAAGCTTAACACCCCCAAAGTCTCGCTACATCTGGACGCTGCATCCAGCTGCCAAGTTTCAAATGAATGTGCTATAAAATCACTGAGTCATGGAGTTTCTCTCTTTTCCACCCCCTCCTCGATGTAGTACTTCCCCTGAACACACACACACACACACACACTCACACGCGCACACGCACACGCAGGTTGCTGATGGAAACACTAACAGACTCTCAGCTGTAACATCTGTTCAATACGATCTCAGTTCTACCAACTACATCAAAGCTGCCCTCCTGCAAAGCTATGCAGTCGACATCACAAGTGGGATTAAAATCATGTCTAATAGTTGGATATGACATAAACTATTTATACCTGTGGAGCCTGGTAGACTCCTGAAAGTTCATATCCTGCACATCCAGAGGAGAGGGGTGGACAGAGGGACCCAGGCACCTCGGGGTCCAGGGTGGAGGTGCAGATGAGACTGGCAAGTGTACAAGCCTCCTAGAGACCCGTTCTGTTGGGGCCCGTGGAGAAAGGTGGGGTACCAAGGATTTGGCCAAGGCAAGGAAGCTGCAGGTGAGAGGCACACACAGGATAAACTCAGAATGGCGGGAGCAGGAAGGGTCCCCCAACAGGTATATACCCCATCGCCCTGCTCTCCAAGAATCCTCGCTCTATAAAGGACACCCAGGTGGGGAGGGGCCTCCTGGAGCTCTCCCCAAGTTCTGTGGCAGGTAGATTCTAGATTCTATCCAACTGGAGCCATCACTTCCTCAAACAAGAGTTGGGTTGAGGGACTCTACTCCGCCTCTCAGTACTGAATTTTACAATGTAAGGCCACGAGCCAGCCATGCATGTGGCTCCAGATGGCAATCACCAAATTCCTCTGCCTCACATGAGCCTCTCCAACATGCAGCAAGATGCACGCTCCTCCCTGGGTCTCCACATCTCCAGGGGTGGTGCCATCGGAGCCCTAGGGGCCCTTGGATGCCCAGTTGAGCTGGCTGGTCCTGCAGAGAAAGAAGACTGGGACTCCTGACAGTACTGGCCCTGGAAGCTGGTGGTCCTCGGCTGGGATGGGGGGGCTGCGAGGGGGCAGCTGATGGGCAGCAGCTGGGGAGAAGCTACAGGGTTCTGGGGCCCTAGCTCTCCTGGAAGGTGGGAGGAGAGCTCTCATGGCAGGTCCTTGCCACACTCCTTACTACTTGAATTATGTTTTAAAAACAAAGAGAGCATTGAGATTCCTGTCCCTTCCCTTGTAATTCTCCATGAAATTCTCCACTGCTGCCGTAACAGATGCTCCCAGGATGGTGGTCTGAATCCAGAACTGGGGGCTCACATGGGGAGATCAGGGTCCCCAGAATAGTCAGTCACCCTGCTCAGGAACCAGAGTTCTCTCCCCCATGTCTTTCAAGCTGTCTGCAGATATGGGTGCAGCCCTGTGGGCCACCTCCCTGGCCCCAGCCCCTGGGCCCTGGCACTATGCAGGGAGGCATGACCCAGCTTGAGCACCAGCAGGACAAAGAGGGGCTGAGTGGTCCAATGATCCCAACACCGGGGTGGGCTTGCCTCAGTTCACAGCCGGGGGACTGTGCGTCGGACTCTGAGGGTCTCAGAAGCGCACCTGCGGCCTCAAACAGAGGCTCAGGCCGGGCGGGTTGGAATCCTGCTCCCCTCGTGGTGCCCTTCGCAGGCGCCCAAGAGGGGTCAGCATTTTTCTCCATGGTCTCTGAGAAACGGCTTCTTCTTTTGCTGAAAATGGGCTGGACAGAACCCCTAGAAAATCCACATGCCCTTCCGGCAGTTTGCCACGATCTCAGGTGAGGACTGGCCCGAAGATGCAGCCCAGGACCCTGGCTGGGGGGTGGGGACCACGCTGCCCCCCTCACTCAGCCCAGGGTTGAACCCCAGCCAGCCCTGTACACCAGGACTAGGACGAAGAACGGGTGCTGGTCTTGGTTTCCACCTTCCTCTCGCTCCGCGTCTCTCTCCCTGTCTCTCTTCTCTAGTCCTCCATACTGTGGGGTCTCTCTCCCCAACATCCTGTCAGGTTCTGTCTCTGCTTGGTCTCCTCCGGTCTTTTTGCTTTTAGTCTGAAAGCTCTGTCTGATTATCTGTTTCTGTGGATATGTCCATCTCTCTCTGTGTCTCCCTCCATCTCTCTGCTTCTCTCTTTTTCTTGTTCTTCCTCTGCATTTCTCAATCTCTCTCTGTCTCTATCTGTGTCTCCCTCCCTATCCCTCTTCTATGTAGGTGTCCTCTGCCTGCCTCCCAACGCTGCTCTGTCTGTTTCCTGTTCATCTCTCCTTCCCCCTCCATCTCTCCCTCCCCCCCCACTTCCCTCTCTGCCTCTCTCTCCCTCCCTCTCTTCCTGTCTCCTCCACCTCCTACCCTTTAGCACTTCAGAGCCTGGCTTCTCATCATATTGCAGGAGAAAGACTCGCCCAGCCTGGAGAGCTGAGGGCTGGGTGACACCAGTCAGGGCCCAGCAGAGATGATCAGGCTGATGAAAGGGTGTAAATGCCGCTTTCAAGTTAACAGATGCACCAGAACCTTTATGCAAACAGATATGAAACAGACATTTCAAAGACCAAAAAACTGTGTATTTAAATGGGGCTTAGTGTCCACTTTCCCCCTTGTGCCCCCCGCACCCCCTTTTCCCACCTCTCTTTTCTGAAGTGCTTTGTTCTGCCTAAAGGCTGCAAGATGGGCAGCATGCATCTGGGGGCTCAGGAAGCCATGCCTCCTGGCTGGCTGTTCATTTAAACACCAGACCTTGAATCCACAGGGGGAGCCCTGACCCCACTACCAGGCCAGCAGAAGCAGGCACCCCCAGGGAGTAAGGGAGCCCCCTGCTGAGGCCCCCAACTCTCTGAGGACCATCAGGGTGGTGGCTGCACTAAGGGTCCCTGCTGGTAGAATCTCTGGCCTTTATCCTCCATGTCACCCAGGGGATCTTCTTGCCCCAAAACCATGGACACAGCTCCCCAGTTTGCAAAGGAATCTCTTTTCTCTGCAGACCCCCCGCTTGTCAACCTGTCGGTGGAACCACAGCCGGTGCTGGAGGACAACGTTGTCACGTTCCATTGTTCTGCAAAGGCCAACCCAGCTGTCACCCAGTACAGGTGAGAATCCCGCTGACGAGGCACAGCCTGGCCCCTGGACCCCTGCACACCCCTGCCCATCACACGGGGTGTCGTTTGTGGTCCAGGGTGCGCAGCACACGGGCTGGTTCACTGTGGGAGCCCAGGATCCTTCTCCCTTCCCCACACACCCATCCATCCCTGGTCAGGTAGACTTTCCCTTTCCTTCACGTACATGCACACTCCCCTTCCACGGGATGCAGTGGGTATAACCCCTTGTGTTTGGAGAGCTTGGTTATCCCTTCTCTCTGAAAAGAGGCAGAGAGGCTCAGAAAAAAAGGAAAAAAAAAAAAGGTAAAACAACCCGGAGAAGCAGTAAGATCAGAACCTAGATTCTAGCCATGTGCTCACCGAACTCTTCACCTGTGTAGGGTACGATTTCTGGGACAGAAGGCCCTGTCCAGCAAGTGCCTCGGATCATGTCCACCCATGGCCCCTGTGCATCCCTTGCTCACAACACTGATAAAAGCACTGTGTTTTACATGCTCATCTTTCCCTGTTGATGGCGCTTCTTGAAGGCAAGAACTGCAATTTAGCCACTTACGGTACTCGGCATGGAGCACGGCGCGGGGCATGCAGCAGGTGCTTTATAATGCGGGCTGGTTCCCCTGGGCACCTTCCCGCCTGGGCACCGCCGCATGAGATTTCAAGAGACACAGTGCCCTCGGAGATGCTCAAGGGCAGACTCGGACATTCACCTCCTTTAGACACCCTGGGGAACTCAACATGGCCCTAACTCGGTCCCGTCCTTCCCCACCAGCCCAGACTTGATGGTGGAGCCCAGAGCATCACCTCTGCTGTCGAGATGGGTTATTAAGCCACAGCATCAGCCAGTGCCAGGGATGCTAATGGCCCCAGACTAGATAATCGGCTGGCCAGTGGGAGTGGAGGGCAGGGATGACAAGAGGCAGCACAGACCAGAGTGCTCAATGAGAGGGAATGGGCCAAAGAGGCAGCCAGACAGAGATTCAGGTTGGACGCAAGGAGGAGCTCCTCGCAGTGCAGATAACTGAACGACACCAGGACACTGGAACCAAACCCCAGGAAAGGCGTGGGGTTTTAAAATATCCTTGAGGATATTTTAAAACAGGATGCAAACCCAGCTGTCCTGTCCGGTGTGACGGTTCCCTGGGCTGGAGGCAGGGGAAAGTTCGCTGCAGGCGCACGGTCGTGTGGGTCCAGGGGGGCGGGTGTGGTTTGGCTGGGATCTGGCATCTGTCTGGAAGTGACGAAAGATGCGAAACAGACACCCAGAGAGAGTCCCTTTCTCTGGGCTTCCTCTGTGCACCTCCAGGCCTGCGCGCCCCTCCACAGGGTCGGCTCCTCTCTGCTGCCGCTCCAGGGGTCTGCTTACAATCCCTAAACGCCAAGCCCCACGTGCCCAGAGAGACCTCGAATACCTGTTTCTCTGGGCAGCCCCGGACTCCCACAGGCACCCAAGCAGACGCATCCCATGGTCACCCTCACAGCCATCCCGGGAAAGCCTGTGGGGCCCTGGAGACCAGAACACACAACTTCCACGTCTCTTCACTGCCAGGCTCCAGGTCATCTGAGGACCCGGTTATGGGGGGGCTGGGCAACGGGCAGGGCCGTGCTCCGGGACCCAGCAATGTCCCCCAACGCTCCCCTGCCTTCTGACCAGGACAGGGTGAGCAAACGCCCCAGAAGCCAGGCAGCGGGGCTTCGTCTTTGGGGCACCCCCCTCTAGAAGCAGAACACCAGTGATGATGATGATGATGATGAAGTTCATACCTCCTTCTGGAGAGATCATCATAAAGAAATATGACAATAGGGACACCTGGCTGGCTCAGTCAATGAAGCATCTGCCTTCGGCTCAGGTCATGATCTCAGGGTCCTGGGATCGAGCCCCGCGTCGGGCTCCCTGCTCAGCGGGGAGCCCGCTCCTCCCTCTGCCCCTCCCCCTGGCTCTGCTCTCTCTCTCACTCATTCTCTCTCTTTCTCTCAAATAAATAAATAAAATCTTAAAAAAAAAAAAAGAAATGTGACAATACGTTAAGAACTAGTGAATCTAGGTGAAGGGAATATGGCAGTTAATTGGCCTATTCTTGCCATGTTTCTATAATTTCAAAGTGGTTTTTTTTTAAACTGAAAAGTTAATAAACAAACAAGCACAGAGCATGCAAGTCTCCCTCTGCCTCCATCCTCCCCTGCAGCCGCCCAGGGTCCTGGGTCAGCCCCCGCTTACAGAGGCGCAGCCGTGGGTGCGGGAAGGGGCAGGCCTCCCCACAGACGCTCACGCTTGTGGCGAGTCACCTCCCTCACGGCCCTCTGATTAGCCAAACGCCCTGAAACGCTTCAGTGTGGACCACACTCCCTTCAGGACTCCAGAGACTTTTTGGGGAAGCCCTTCGGGCAACTAGGAAATTTTAGGAGAAAAGAGAGTGGAGGGGCTGTGGCAAGAGGAGAGAAAGGAGCCCCCCCCCCCGCCGCGCCCACCCACACAGGCCGGGGCCCCTCGAGGGAGGGCTCAGTCAGCAGGCAGACGGTGGTTCTAGATGATGTGCTGGGCTCCCAGAGGAAAAGCCTTAAACAAATCTCCTCACATAAGGACATTGATTTTTCCCAACTGACTTTGACAAGATTGCAGGAATCTGTGTTTCTTCACTTCCATATTCACCTTGATTGCTTCCTCCTGTGCCCCTCCGAGGCTCTGATCTCAGAAATTAGAACTATGCTTCCTCCACCCCAGCACCCAGGAAGGGGACATCGGTGGGCGTGGGAGCAGGTGCGGCGGACTGGGCAGTCACTTCAGCTGCCCCCTAGGACCAGGGGCCTGAGACGGGCAGGCCAGGTCCCAGCACACCAGGGAGAGCATCTCCCCACCTGCTGAGGCTCTCCTGCGCCCCCCACACCCCCCTGCAGGTCCCAGGGCCGGGGCCACCGCCCTGTGTGAAACTCGGGGCTATTTAAGGACAGCCTGTCAGCTGTGACAGCCAGGCCTCCTGATCCTGTGATATAAATAATTAATCCTCTTACGTTTGCTCTGGACAAATTAGACATTGATTGGGAAGAGCTTAATCTGACTCCTTTTCAGAGGGGCTGGGGGCGGTGGGATGGGAACCACAGTGGAGGCAGGGCTGGGGGGAAGGGGCAGTGTGCAGGGTCCAACTGGAAGGAGGAGGAGGTGAAAGCTAAGCCAAAGAATAGAGAGGAGAGGGAAGGGCTGAGAGAGGTGGCCTTGCTCCCGCATCACCCTGGACCCTGTGGCCAGCCGCTTGAAGGAGTGCTTTGAGCTTCTGGAAGGGACCCCTACAGAGGGTTTATTGGTGTGGGAGAGGAACATAAAGAAAGGGAGAGAAAAGACTGGCTGAGTGAGATATGAGCAGGGGACTCCTGGGACATCCCCAGAAAGCCTTGGTTTGCCATACCAGAGGGCCCAGCCCCCACAGCCTGCTCCTGCCTGTGACCCTGGGAGAGGACAGCCTAGGAATTCCTCCCGTGCCCTGTTCCGCCTCTAAGGAAGGAACAGGCCCTGGGGGGCTAAGGGCAGCCACCGCACAGGGGGCCAGGCTGCGACAGCACAGCCCTGCTGGGCTCCGGGCCTGTGCGAGCCCCAGCACTTCTCCTGAGCTCCTCGGGGCTGAGCAGGTGAAGCTTGCACCCTCAGTGACTTACATGAGGGCCCCAGAGAGGAGGAGAAAGCCCCATCTTCTCCAGGAACTCCTCCAATGACAGAAGGGGACAGCCCTTCAGAACCAGCCCGCAGGGGCCCTAACCTACCTACCCCGGGGCAGGAGCAGGCCTGGGGGAGCAGGAGGGGCTCACCCCTCCCTCCTCCTGGTCCCACCTGCTGCAGCCCCCCTCAGCCCCCCTCTGCCCCCCTCCGCCTGACCCCACGCTTCATTCAGCTGGAGGTTGGACACAGATCCCCAGCCGTGTGCCTGGCACTGAATTCCTCTGCCTCAGGCAGGGGCTGTGCCTGGCTGTTAAGTCTGGTCATTAAATTAAAGTTAGAAATGGAAATGATTCATGAATAACTCATAATGGTTTGTTGGGAAGCTCCTTAAGCTCTCAGGGAGCTATGGTTTGCTCTGTTGTTAAACTATAATTGTTATTATTAATCATGTTCTTAATAATTATGTGATATTAACTTACGATAATAACCACATGGTGCCAACCTGGGTGCTCCACGTGATGCCAAGGCACGGCCATCTCCCGGGGCTGGACGGGCCTTAGTGTGAAGCTGAGGGAGGGAAGGCAGGAGACGGTCCCCTCGGTACCATCAATGGCTCCAGGACCTAGAGAAAGGGGAGGTGAAGGCGGGGGCCGCCGGGAAGCTGTGGTTACCGGGACTCATGGTCATGGTCATGGGGTCACAATAAGACAAACACCCCAAAATAGGCTTGGAATAGGAGGAGCCCGGTTGGAAGTTTTGTGAAAAGTTAAGTGTTGTCCACAGTGGGGTTAAAGCAGAGGACACTGTGAACTCTCTCCCTGGGGGTCTGTAGGGAAAGACCCCCCCACACACACGCGCGCACACCCATGCACACCTGCGTGCCCCTGGGAGCTCCCAGCACTGCCTCACAGACAGCAGGCTCCCCCCTCCGGCACTGGTCCAAGGCAGTGATCACCGCCCCAGGGCCAGGACCGAGGCAACCCCTGGGCTTTTCAGCCTCTCGACTCTGGTGGTACTGATTGGCAATTGGTGGGTGAAAGACATCAGCACGGCTGTCTTCCCGCCCCTCTGACCAAACCAGGACTGATGGAGCCGAAGCCTCTGAGGAGTGAAGACAGCGGGGGAGGCTAGAAGCTGGGCAGGAGAAAGGGCAAGTGCCATCCCTGGGAGGGACGAGGGGGCACGGTGAGGGACCCACGCTGGGGACAGGAGTCAGGACAGGAGAGCTGAGAGAGCTGGAGGAAGGGCCCTCGGGACCCCTGGCTAATACCCCTCCCACAACCTCCCACCTTGTCTAGAAACCAAGTCTGTGTGTGTGCACGCGTGTGCACGTGTGTGGGCGCAGATGCGCACGCGTGTATGGGCACGTGCCACCAGACCTTGGCCTCCTTCTTTCCCACCGGGGATCCCAACAGACAGGGCCCTCGGTAGCGCTCAGAGCAGGATGGCCAAGCTATCTAGGGACTGACAGCGGTTTATTCATTTCCTAGCCAGTCAGGTGGGCCAATCTATTGAGTAATCCACCCAGCTCTCTCCAGAATAACCTGCTTGTCACCCGCGGAGCAAAGCCTGCTGCCTCCAACACCGACTCCTCCCCTGGCCCCGGAAGTTTCCCCTCTGCGGAGATTCCTGCCGGCCCCCCTCCCCACCTGGCACTGAAGGATCTCTGGTTGGGGGGGGGCCTAGCCCTGTGCCACCCCATGCCATACCCCGCTTTCTAGCTTCTACAGAGACGCACCCCCTGGGTGGGAGGAACACCCTTGCCATTGGAGGAGGAGGAGGGCCACAGCGGCACGCGGGGTTCTCCACTTGCAGGTGGGCCAAGCGGGGCCAGATCATTAAGGAAGCATCTGGAGAAGTGTATCGGACCTCAGTGGACTACACGTACTTCTCAGAGCCTGTCTCCTGCGAGGTGACCAACGCCCTGGGCAGCACCAACATCAGCCGCACGGTGGACGTCTACTGTGAGTATCCCCAGGCGAGCCGGCCCCGGAGCATCTCTGTTCAGGGGCTCAGGAACCTTGCTGGGCTCTCTGCACACCATAGAACCATGCCTCACGAGCTCACAGTGCCGCCCACTTTAAGAAAAGCTTCTTGGTGTGGTATTTCCGGCTTCCCTTGACCCTTACAGTAATCCAGGGAGGCAGGAATTATTATTCCCATTACTCAGGTGAGGGGATGGAGGCCCAAGGTCACTCAGCAAGTAAGTCGCAGAAGGAGAACTGAGGCCAGGCTCAAGCAAATCCACTGCTGACCACAGGTCCCGCTGCTTCCCATTAGGGACCCGAGTACACCTCCCTCTGGTGGCCTGGCAGGGACCCCCTTGGGGTGAGCCAGCCCATCACTGACCGATGGGTTGGATGTGTTCACAGCAATAAGCATTAGCTCATCTACTGCGCTTTACAGTTTGAAAAGCACTTTTGCAAACTTTCTTACATCTGACCCCTCCCCTCACCCTCAGTGGCCTCAACAGAAAGTGCCACTACTCCCTTTTCAAGGGACTAATCCCGGTCTCCTGACCCTGGTTTTCACATTCTTCTGCTCCTGGAAAGCAGCTAAGCAGTGCTCTGCATACCCTCCCGTCACCGTGCCTGAAATCCCACCATTACACCCACTCTGGGGACCAAGGCTTGGTCTGCAGGAGGCTCTCTGGTGTGCAGCGGGGAGATGGAGAGGAACCTCCATTAATGCTCACCAACACTTAGCAGGGGCCTGGGACCAGGCCCAGCTACTTCACTGGGGTTGGAGAAAGGCTGGGAGGGGCTGGAACGGAGCATAACCTGCAGGCTCGGAGCAAGTGGAGAACTCTGGGAAAGGCATGGCTTCCTGGAGGGGGTGGAAAACACGGGGAGAGGCATGCTTCCTCCACGCCTTGTCTCAGAGCCCCTGGAGGACCGTGGGAGGGCTCCAGGAGCTGGGCCAGGTGCACAGGGTAACTGGACTCTAGGTCCCTCACCTGAAGCCTGGGCAAGGACCTGAAGGCAGAGACAGAAAAATCCCAGGATTTCTGGGGCAGGAGGAAGTCCCCTCTGCCTGCAGATTGGGGAGGGGGCTTCCTGGAACCAGGACAAAGGGCAGGAGATGGGGGCAAATCCCAGTAGAAATGGGGCCAGAGCACTTTTTCCTAGGGCTGTTGCTGCCAGTGAGTGGGCCTGAGGGAGGCCGGGCTGGGGGACTGGGATCTCTTGCTTACTTCCCGGGTCCTTCAGACCCTGCTCCCAGAGCTCCCAGCCCACCAAGAGCCCTGTCTCCCCCTTCCTCCTCTCACAGTTGGGCCCCGCATGACCACAGAGCCCCAATCCCTGCTCGTGGATCTGGGCTCCGATGCGGTCTTCAGCTGTGCCTGGACAGGCAACCCCTCCCTGACCATCGTCTGGATGAAACGGGGCTCAGGCGTGGTAAGTCCTCAGCTCACACCCCACAGAGGCCTCGGACCACCTGAACTGCCTTCTGGGCCCCTCTCACCCTTTGGCTAAGGGCATCGGCCTCCAGTGTAAGCTGAAGGGAGAAGAACTCCAGAAAGAAGAGAGTGAACCCCAGATACCCACATGTACCCCCTCAGTCCTAAACACACTCAACCACTGCAGTTTTGCCCTATCACTAAACCTTAGAAGAAAAGCAGGTGGTCACCAATGTGCTGGGAGTAAAAAGTCTCTAGACAGCCTTTTCCACTTTCCCTGAATAGTTAAGGGATCCATTAGCTTTAGAGTTAAGTTTCACAGTCTTCCTGTGTTCCTCTTTTAAAATAAATATGTTTTTTCGGTTGTATAAGTTTATCAGAAATCCCTCCCCTCAGGAGGACCAGCGAGAGCCTTGGGAGGGAAGTCAAGGGTGAGGCAGACAGAAACTGGCCTCCGTGTGACCTACTGTGGGCCGGACACCGCTCCATCCTGTGAGCAGGGCTGCCCTGTTGTAGCAATAAGAGCATCAGGGCAGATAAGAAACTGCCCCAGGCCACGCAGGTAGTCACCACCCAAGTCAGGATTTGAACTCAGGGTTAGCTAAGGCCAAAGTCTTTGGATCACGCCCAAACTCTATCCCAAAAGGATATTGAAAATGACTCCAAAAAGACAGGTCCAGGCACCTGCAAACAAGATCCTCGGGGCCAGCCGGGTACAAGTTGGTGGGCAGCCTGCCTGTGTTTGAGAAAGTCTCTGGGCCCCAGCCAGGGAGTACCCCCCCCCCCCCCCCCCCCCCCCCCCCCCCCCCCCCCCAGCTGGTGTGCAGCTGTAGATCTCCCCTGGACAGCTCACGGGGCATACTGTCTCCCACCCCACCCCTGCGCCTCACTGCCACGCTGAAGACCGGTCACTTACGGCAGGCCCGCCTCGCAGCCCTTCTGGTTCTGGGAGACAGAGGGAGCCTGGCTCTGCTCTCCGTGTCTGATCCTCCACAATCCTCCCAGGTGCTGAGCAATGAAAAGACCCTGACCCTCAAAACCGTCCGCCAGGAGGATGCTGGGAAGTATGTGTGCCGAGCCGTGGTGCCCCGGGTGGGAGCCGGGGAGCGAGAGGTGACCCTGACAGTCAATGGTAAGACCCACCCCCCCCACTCATGTTAAGAGGATAGGAGGGTGCAGAGAGGGGCCCAAGGCGTCTTGGTCCCAGGCATTGCCTCAGAGGGCCTGTCGTTGGTTCTGGGCCTTGCTTCCACCCCGACCCTGGCTCCATAGCAGTTCTGTCCACCTCTTCGAGTCCATGTCAAAGCCCAGGCCTGAGGTGAGGAAGGACCTGGCTAGTTGCGTCACCTTCCTCCTAAGGGGTCCCAGGCTTAGGAGTGGTAGCTGATGAATTTTATCCTGGCCAAGAGGAAAGGGTCAGAGGATCACTAGGCAGCCAACTTAGATCCCGTATCTACCCTCTGACCTGGACCTTGACCTTGGTCCTGGAGGGAATGTAAGGGAGCGTCTCTGCAACTCCTGGTTGGCCCCTTCCCGTTGCATGCTGGCTGCTCGGTCGGAGAGACCCATCACAATTTCCACAAGACCAAGCATTCAGGGGGTCCTCTTGAGGGCAGAGTCTTATCACTTACCATAAAACCATTATAGCAGGAGAGGGTTTTCAGATGTCCCCACAACACAGATGACTTAGGAGACAGAGTGTTAGACCAGCATGGATGATGGCATACAGAATGTTACAGAGAAGCTGGGTCAGGCCCAGGAAGGCTGTAGCACCACGATGGAAATCTGACGTCCCTGCCATGGTACGTGCTCAGGCGAGGGGGGGGGGGCGCGGGCAACCAAAGCTGCTGGCTGGAGAGAGGGAGAAAAGCGAAGGCCAAGCCCCTCTGTGTTTCCAAACTTCCTCAGTCCACTGGGTTTTTGGTTTCTCTTTACGAGCCCCCTGGTCCCACAGAGTCTGCCTCTGGTCAAAGCCCTGAGGCTCTGAGCCACAGTGAGATCCAAGCCCCAGACCCACCTTTGCAGGGCCTCTGGGTCCTGGCCCCAGATCAAGGCCCTAAGGAGGGGCTGAGTCATGTTCCGGAAATCTGCCGTCCTGGCTTCACCTCCACCCAGGAAGCTGCCCACAGGAAGCCTCATCTATTCTCCCCCTTTGCTAGAAAACTAAAACCAGCTTGGTGCTTCCTCAGCCATCCCCCTCCGGCTTCCCCATTAGCCAGCCCCCCCGTCCACTGATTTCTTTTCCTCTCCTCCTCCCCCAGAGTCCTGGCAGCCCCAGAGGGAGGGTGAATCTACTCAGACCCCGGGTGCACTCACAGGCCACCTGTCCTGGGCAGAACCCTGACACAGGAGTCTTCCTGCCTTCCCCCTGGGTCCCCAGGACGCCACCAATAAATTGGCACTGCAGGGCTAAAAATAACAGCATCTGATCGCGCCTCCGTATATCCATGGCAACGCAGACTGCAGCCTTTTTCTGCTGCTCCGTGTCTGACACTGGGCTCAGGCACCAGGGCCCATGAAGGCAGTGGCCTCCCCCGCTGCCCGCCCTGGGTGCTGGCCCGTGACTGTGGCCAGCTCCCGTCTGCTGGCCCCAGGACCGGCCCAGCAGGGCTGGGGACCGTCCAGGGTCCCCAAGCCTGAAGCCTGAACATCCCCATTTCTGGGGAAAACCAGGCGGATAAATGAGGGACTGACATTCCATTGTCACTTTAGATATCCAGGCATTTCCCCGCAGGGATTCAAAGTGGTTTCTTGGGGAGGGAACGCACACCTCGCACACCTCGGGAGGACATTTCTCTTGGAAGGGACACCCCAGCCTGGGCCCTGGCGGCTACACAGGGTTTGATCTGCAACCCCCCCCCGCCAGGGATCCTGTGTCTCTCCCCCTCCTCTGCCTCCAATACTGGCACAGGCTCCCCTAGATCGTCAGGAAGAGAACCGCCCAAGGGATTGGAGTGAAGCAAGGAGGCCGTTTGTTTCTGTTGAACTGGGGTCATCTAGCCCTGATGCAGGGGGATGGCTTAAGTGGCCCGGGGTGGGGGGGGAGCCGACGTTGGAGAGGAATGATCTAGAGAACAGGTGGAGGGATGGCGAAGCCCTTTGGAAAGGGGCCTGGGCTGGACTGAAGGAACCAGACATTATGAAAGGATCCAAAATGAGATGGGGTGCTCCTCACAACACACCCCAGCTGGTGGGCGACCGCTGCCCACTGCCTTTTGGGGAGTAAATTGGCACAGGTCTTGCCTGGTTTGGTTCAAACCCGGGATCTGCAGGGAGGGGGAGATTAACCACACTACCACTGTGCTTTGACTGCCCAACCCCACCTTTATTCTGATTTCTTTTTTTCTTCTAAGAAGCCCTTAAACACTTACCCATTTGCCTAATGGCTTTTAGAATGCCTGAAAACCCCCCAGAGAATTCCTAGTCCCTGGGAAGTGAAGGGGAAACGGTTTTATGGTATCCTCACTTCCAGCCAGCAGCAAAACAAAGCGCCATCCAAGTTCCTAGAACATCAAGCCCTCCTGCCTTTTGGTCAAAGGCTTCTTGGAGCAAAAACATGTAAGAGAGACACTACACTCGGCTCAGCCCATGCTCAGAGCCACCTTGGGGCGGGGGGGGGGAAGCCCTTACCTGAAGGGTCCCCCACGTCTGCCGCATCCAGCTCCAAGCTGTTAGCCATCCCAAACTCAATAGCAGTCACCTGAGTGTCTCCCAGTACCCACCCCCGCCCCTTGGCTGAGAGCTACTCATAGAAATGCAAATCTGTTTTAATTAAGGCGGCTAATAAACAGCAATTATGTTTGCAGCAATTTCTGTTTTGTTCCCAGCATAATTTTGCCTGTCCTCCAGATCCCTTGCTCTAGCTCTTTCTTCTCCATTTTCGGCCACCTAAGACCCAACCTTTTCCCTCAGGATTGGGAAGGGGACGTGAGGGTCTCCATCCCTACAGGGCTTGCTTGCTCCAGCCGCCCAAGCCCCAGCCAGGAAGTCAGCTGAGCAAACAGCTGAATTCGCCTCTCCTCCCTCCCCCTTTCCATGCCAGGTGGGCTTTGTGAGGGAAGGATTTGGGTGAGATAAAAGGCAGAACTAGACAGGCGGCACACTCTTAGACTACAGGTGGATTCTCCAGGCTGTGGGAGGAGGTAGATAAGACAGGGACTCCGAGAGACATCCATAAACATTACACACACACACACACACACACACACACACACTCTAGACATACGTGAGATGAAGGTTGTGAACCCTCCCAGCGCATGCCCCCTAAGCAAGGTGATCCCCCCTCCCCCCCTCTCCCCGCCAGAGGCACTCGAGCATTTCCTTCTCTTCCTCCGGCTTTGCCCGGCCCAGCGAGGGCACCCAGTTTGTTAGGCAGGCACGCCCTCTCCTGGACGTGGGGGAGAATGGCTCGAGTGGAACAGTCCACTAAGGCAGAGGTGGTATTAGTTAGAGATGTAACATTACTTAGTATCCCTTCCTCCCCGACACTTCCCCTACTCCCTTCTGAGGTCCCACCTCCTTCGTAAAGCTTTCCCCACCCGCCAGGCAGAATTAGCCCCTCTCCTCTGAAGTCCGTTGGCACTTCGTGTGTACCGCTCCGTGGTACGAACGCTCACCACCTTTTATGACGGTTATTTATGTCTTCTGGGCATTCTGACTTAGAAGCGTTCCTTCGTCATCCCTTGAGAGGATTATGACTGAACGCTTAATTTATCTTTGAGTCCCCTGCCTTGCACTTTACCTTGCACATACAGGCCTCCAGTAAATGTGTGCTGAACGATTGGATGAATGGGTCAACTTCTGAACCCCACCCCAGAAGGGTCCAGCCAGGCACCTGCCTTTCCTGATTCCCTGGTGTGATGCTGTCTCCCCAACAGGACCCCCCATCATCTCCAGCACCCAGACCCAGCATGCCCTGCATGGGGAGAAGGGCCAGATCAAGTGCTTCATCCGGAGCACACCGCCACCCGACCGAATCGTGAGTGCTCTGGGGCCGGGAGGGGAGGGCTGGGGGAGTCCCCTGGCGGCTCATCTCAGACCGCCTCTTTCTTAAAACCACCAGGCCTCTGAGCTTCCCATCCTCTGTGGGGAAAATTATACCTGCCTTGTCTCTCTGGGAAAGGCATCACGAAGACAGTGTGCTCCCAGAGCTGGTCTGCAAGTGTCTTTAACTCTGCTCTGCTGTCCACATGTGCCCTAACAGTAATAACAGTAATGCTTCCAACCAAGTTCTGCGTCCTAGGAGCAGAGGGCTAAGTGAGGGTAGCAGAAAGGAATGACAAGCGATTGCTTCCCTTTCCTGGGTTCAAGGCCAGTCTTTGGCAAAATCCTAGACAGAGTGTGGTTTGTGGTCGGCAATCCCCTTTCTTCACCCCCCAGAGTCCTCCTCTGTTGGCCTCCAGGTGCCCGTGGATTGCCCTGCCCCACTTACCGAGTTCTCCCCTCCAAAAATATCATTGCATTGTCCCTCCCTTCTGCAAAACTCATCCCCGTCCCTGCAGTGCCACTAAGGCCACCTGAAGAGTTCACACTTGGGCCCTGCCAGGTGTTTGCATTTGTAAAAGCCAGGGTCTTCACCCAAGTCCATCTGAAACCGGTGGGAGCCTCGGCACGAAAACAGAGAAGGGGAAGCATTTTCTAGCATTAGTGGAAGTCCGATACTATTCTTAGTGGTCCCCGATGCCTAGCGTAGTCCTGATAGAAGACTGCCCTAGGGTCAACTCCACCAGGGAGGACGTAGGGGGTGCACACTGAGCAACCAGGGCATGTGCGTGCCAGGGGCTGGGACGTTGAAGCTGTAAACGCTCAAGGTGTCATCCTATAAACTCCGATACGGTTAGCGCATCACGTGTGTTACACACTTTTTCAGGCATCCAGCTCATTCACTGTCTGAAAAATTCACATGCAAATTGCAAGAAGTCATACATAGAACTAATACCTATGTGCCCCCTGTTCCCTTCACCCTTTAATTTTTTTTAAGTTGTAACTGTAACCCATGCCCATCAGAATAATCCGTTCACTAGTGAGCGTGTTCGCACGATCTTTCTCTTCATAGAGATCTAACTCTTGGCCCGCGGTTCTCAATGGGACAAGATCCCCCGCCCAGGGGACATTTGGCATTGTCTGGAGACATTTTTGGTTGTCACAGTTCGGAGGGGTGCTACCAGCATCGAGCAGATGTTGGCCAGGGATGCTGCCAAACTCCTACAATGCACAAACCAGCCCCCACACCCAGGAATGTTCTAGGCCAGAATGTCACCAGGGCCAAGTCTGAGGAAGCACTGGCACCTCACCCACCGCCAAGCGCTTACCTGCAGAGATTGTCACATTCTCCCCAACGCCGAAAACCAGGCCTGTGTGCTCACACGCTGACAAACGTGAAAAGGCTCCGAGAAGAATTCCACTCTCAGCCTTATAAACTAAGACAGGTTAACATGGTCACAAGTACAACTCTTGGAACATATGTTTGTACAAAGGAGCAAAGTGACAAAACTAGGCTCAGTCACTCTGGGGCTGGTCTTCTTCTCCCACCTGCCAGGGCAGCTGAGGGCCCGCCAAGGGCGGGGGGCTCCCATCGCTGTCACAGGGTTCCCTGTCTGCCCAGAAGGTGTCCCAGGGAAGAGCCACAGAAGGCCCCTGTCCATGGAAATGCCCTCCGAGGTGGCCCAGCCTTCGTGTGCGCGTGCATGGTTATGTGAGTGTGTGGTCCGGTGTGTGTTGTGATGTGCGTTGATGTGTGTTGTGTGCACACGTCTGTGGCGTGTTGGGATGTGTGTGCGGACCCGTGGGCATGATGCTGCCGGATGCAAGCCTGGCAGCGTCCGGCCTGGAGCAGGGAGGTGGCAGGGCGGCGCTGGCGGGGGGGGGTCTCCTCCTCACTCTGCGCACCTCGGACAGGCCTGGTCCTGGAAGGAGAACGTGCTGGAGTCGGGGACGTCGGGGCGCTACACGGTGGAGACAGTCAGCACCGAAGAGGGGGTCATCTCCACACTGACCATCAGCAACATCGTGCGGGCCGACTTCCAGACCATCTACAACTGCACCGCCTGGAACAGCTTCGGCTCCGACACGGAGATCATCCGGCTCAAGGAGCAAGGTGGGGGCCGCCAGGGCCACCAGGGGATCACAGGACCGCCAGGGCCCCTCCCCGCCTGGGGTAGGGCCCCAGGCAAGGTCTTCCAGGGTCTTGAGCCAACAAAGCCCACCTGAGGCCACAGGCAGGTTGAGCCAGAGGACAAGTCACAGAGCACTTCCTAACTTGCTCCACAGCCTTGGTCAGGTCACAGGAAGTGGCCCTCTGTGGCCCAGTTCCCCCAAGGCCAAGGCACACCAGGAAAGGAAAGGGGGAGGAAACCTGCTCAGGCTGGTGGTTCTCCAGGACGGTGTTTCAGGAAAAGGTGACCACAGAGCAAGCCAAGCTGATTGCCATGAGGAGCCTTCTAGCAGCTTCTAAGGGCCCTGGCTTCTGTGCACTCAGCGTTTCCCTAGTGTCCTTAGGGGGGTGTCATCCACTGAGGAGTGTCCCTGCAGGGGTACACCAGGACGGATGTGTTGGGGAACCTGGCCCAGCCCATTAAGACAATAAGCCAGTCCGGTTCCCCAAAAGTCCCCCAGAGGGTGCTCATGCTAAGCTAAGGGATAGTACTTGAGCTGCCCCCAACCCCTGGTACATGGTGGTGGGGTCAGGTTCAGATCCCCTGCAGTTCCTCCAGGACCACAGAAGACCAATGGACCACTGTGCGCTGAAGGGCACACCAGCCAGAGGGCAGCGCTGGGCGGGAGGGCTCAGACCTGCTGGCTGGGCGAGGAGGTGGATCAGGAAGGCTCACCCCCCCTGTGACCCCGTGTACAGACTGCGCATCTCCTGATCAGAGAGATGCTGAGAACTCTAGTCTCCGCTTCAAGGTCTCATGCGGACCACAGGCTGGGAGCCTCCGAGGGGCACCGCAGGGTGGCTCTGAGCCGCTCGGCAGACAGCCAGCAGTACACGGAGCCTGAAATGGGCTGTAGATCTTGCCCCTTTGCCAGGGGGGCTCAGTCTATGGCAGACAGGGCGGTCCAGGCTCCTCGGCCCTGGCAGTGTCCAACCCCTCCAAGATGCAGGCGCACCCACAAACTGTCAGGGCCTGGCAGGAGATTCCGGGCCAAGCAGGTGGTCTCAGCTGGACCCCTCGGACCTCAGCGCTACCCTGCGGATCAGTGTCTCCCTACACCTCTTCACTAATAATGCTGCTTTGCATAATGCTTTGCACATAATTTGCATACTATCATCCACACATCATCCTAAACCCTCCCAGTCCCCCGTTGCTTGCCCTCCATGTCTTCCCCTGAGTGCCCCCACCCCCATGCCCTCCCCTTAGTGTCCTCACCCCACCCTCTCCAGATACCCCCCTCCTCCCAAGCCTTAACTTCTTTCTCTGGTCCCCTACCCCTCGGGAGTCTCTTCTAAGTCAGTCTGAAAGAACGCCCAGTTCAGTTCAGCTAGCCTGGGTCCGTTGGGTGGTCCCGGAAACATGAGAGAGGAGGGAGCCCCTCATCCCGATCCCCACCAGGTGGCCGGCCCCAGGCCCACCCCACCCTGGCCAGCCAGGCCCTGGCTGTGGACGCTTGCTTTATTTCCAAACAGGTTCGGAAATGAAGTCGGGAGCCGGGCTGGAAGCAGGTACGGAAGGAGACATGAGAACTCCCCGGGCTGGGAGGAAGGGGCCTCTGGGCTAGTTGGGGAGGGACCCTAAAGGGGTAGGGAGGCCTATGCAGGCCGCTAACTTCTCTGCCCTCCCCCCACCTCCAGGCTTTAGTGCAGCCAGAGCAGGGAGAGGGGTTCCCAGCCAGCTTGGGCCTAGAGACCCCAGAGACCCATCTCCTCTGTCGCCAATGCCAGAGCCCACAGGCTGCTTGCAGCCCAGGACACCGGCTCTCACTCCTCCCCCTCTGTTCCTCCCATCCTCTCTTCGGAAACCCTGGCTCCTCCCCTCTGGGTTCAGCTCGCCCCTGGCCTGGCCTCCCTCTGTTTCCAGGCTCTCCTGGACTCTTCCGGCTTCTCAACATCATCACCAGCTTGGCCATGCTTCCCAGGACTCCAGGGCCTCCCAGCCCCTGGGCCTGCATAACCCATGCTAATCCATGCTTTCTGCTCGCCGCCTCCTCCCCCTACTCCTGCCTGCCTTTCCCCCAGTGAAGTGTCATCCACCCCGGGGCTCAGGCTGCGGGGCAGTGCCTCCCTCCCCACGTGCCCAGCAGCAAGGTGGTCCTCAGGCTCCCAGGGTTGAGTTGCTCTGTCTTAGGACCCCACACAAGACAATTGCCTCCACTCTCCAAGCAGAAACCCAAAAAGAGAATCAGGACGTTGCAAGCCAGACTCCATGGAGCCGACAAGAGCCATGAGCAAGATGTGGGGGTCCTCTGCCACATTGACCCTGAAGGAGCTAGGGCCCGCCAGTCCCTTCGTCAAGCTCCTTGTGGGGCCCACACACCCTCCCCTCTGGGCGGATATGCCCTTTAAGAGCACCAGTCTGGGCCCGGGCAAGCTCCCAGAGGAAGTACACAGACTCCTGTGGTATTCTCCCTCAGAACCACTACTGGTGCTGGAGGTGGTGTCACCTTCTTGTGTCCATGTCACCCGTCTGTTCACACTCATCTGCAGCTCCCTGACACCTTCCTTCCTGGCTGAGACTCCTCATGCCCAGTTCCCCTCCTTGGAAGGAGGTGAGGCTGAGCAGGAGGGCGGCTCCTTCCTCCCGCCCCTCTCCAGGGAACATCCAAGAGGGACAGCCTGCCCATGCGGCCTTGGCCAGACCCCAGGTAGCCAGGCAAGGAGGAAACACACACACAGGCGGGCTGCAGAGGGACTGCCACCCCAGTGGTCCCCCTGACCCCAGCAGACCCTCTCTCTGTCCCAGCCCCCCACTCGGAGACAGTTCTCCAGATAAGACGGTGCCGTATAACAACTGAAGGAAATGTGGCCTCACAAGATGCCCGGGTCAGAAGTCACCTTAGATACTGTTGCCTGGTCCTCTAGTTGGACGGGAGAGACATCGAGGCCTGCAGAGCTTAAGGAACCTTCCACGGTCATCCTTTGGCTTTGAGCTCAGCTGAGACAAGACTTGAGTGTTTCCAAGGAGACTTAGTAGGAATCAAGGAGGAACCAAATCGAACCCAAATTAATAAAATTCAAAAGAACAGAGCCAATGAGCTTCCAAAGCAGTTTTCCTTGCCTAACAGAATTAAAACCCAAAGACAGAAATCATCTACGTACCAAAGCAAGCTCATGGGTCTGCCTGAGGTCTACTGAGGTCAAGTCCCCTTTGTCACTCCTGACTGTTGAGACCAACCCAGACCCTTCCCATTTTTAATCCCTGCGTATTCTCCGCACCCCCTTCTCCTCTCCCCTCCCCTGCCACTCTCACAGCGGGTCTCAGCCACCAATAGGCAGGTGATGAGTGCACTGTTGTGCAGATCCAGCCTAACCACCAACGCTGCCCACCCCGGGCACCTGCTCCTCCCGGGAGGGGGCGACCCACCGCCGCCGCCCAGCTGCACCTCCAGGGGCCAGGCCTGGAGGGTTTCTTCCTCTCTTGCCCTCTTTAAAGCAACCAACAGCAATGAGAGGCTAACCCACAGCCCAAGACAAAGTCCCAGACATCCTGCAGTCATCCACACTGACAATGTGGGGCACGTTAGGGGGCAGGGAGCTCAGGCTCTAGAAGGAATTTTCTTCTCATTCAAGGTTCTGATCTTGCTACATTTCTCCTACCCCTCCAGAAACTGGAGCAAACACTTGACTAGGACTGGTGCCAGGCTCAGTTTCAAGGTCTTTCCTTGCATTCACTCATGGAGTGAGTGGTTACTCACCCTGTAACCACCCCCTGAGGTGGGCACTGTAATGATCCCATTTTGGAGATAGAGAGGTGAGGTAAGTTGCTCAGAAAAGGTGCTGGCGTCTGGGCTGTCCAGAGCACGTGAACTTTGGAGGATGCTGTGTGATACAGCAGACGGAGCTGGGGAGCAAGAGGAGGCCGGGATTTGCCCTGGCCTTCTGCAGCTGTGCGTCCTTGACTGAGTCATGCGACCTCTCTGGACCTCAGTGTTTCCATCTGTAAATGGGAGGTTTGGATTCAGCAGGCCGTAAGGACTCCCTGCCCCCAAATTTTCTAATTCTATTCCCAATGGACTATACGGGGCTCCAAATCCTGTACTCCAGCCCACATGCAGCCACAGAAGGGCCAGGGCTGTCTGGAAGAGCACACACACACACCCCCCAATATACCCTCCCCATCCGCATCTCCACCAGGCTAGGGCACTGAACAGATAAACTCAGCAGGGAGTGAGGGCTTGCCTAGCTGGAGTTCTGGGCGCCTGGCAGAGAGGGCTACCAGGATGCCTGGGGACTGGCCCTGGAAGAGAAGGAGCAGAACTGGGGGGGAGGGGCCAAGGAAAAGGAGCATTTCTCCTTAGAGAGGTGGGGGGCAGCTGCGATCCTGACCACCCCCCTTGCACCTAAGACTTGGGCCTCTGGCAGCTACTACCCTGATGCCCGGCAGGCCCGTGAGGACAAGCTGCCTCAGGCCTGAGAACTCTCTAAAAGCTGGTGGTCCATGTCCATCCTCTGCACCTGGGAACGGGAAGAGAAGGAGAGCACAAACCAGGCAAACAAGGGAAGTGACCATAGTCGTTTTACAAAAAAAAAAAAAAAAAAAAAAAATCCAGGACTTTCTACTCTCCAGCCCCCGCATGATAGACTATTCCTGGTTTAGTACAGAAGGGAGCTAAACGGTACCACAGCCTTGCTTCTCATCTCCAGGTAGCCCTCCCCGGCCCTCCCCTCCCCATGTCTGCCTGCCTCCCTCCCCACCCACCTCTTCTGTAGTCCCTCGCACCCCCTCCTCGGTCCTGAGTCCCTGAGTCCCGCTGGAGCTGACCCCTGTTGGAACTCTGCCTGGGCCGGCCCAGGCCCCACCCCCCACCCTCACCCCTCCCCAGGCACTTCCCAGGAGGGCCTGAGTGCAGGTGTCTGGCCCCAGGGGCTGCCCCCCCCCCCCGAGGAAACTGGGGAAGGCCCTGGTGGGGAGAGTGGGCTGTCCCTGATTTCCCATCGGCTGTGCCTGCTTCTCTCCCACAGAGTCTGTGCCGATGGCCGTCATCATCGGGGTGGCCGTAGGAGCTGGTGTGGCCTTCCTCGTCCTTCTGGCAACCATTGTGGCCTTCTGCTGTGCCCGCTCCCAGAGAAGTACGGGAGGGAGACCCGGGAGCTCAGGGAGGGGGACAGAGAAAAAGGCCAGGCTTAGACTGCTCCGGAGAGCAAGTAAGCAGGAGTGCTGTGAGCAGGGGCCCTGACCTGCTGTGAGCTGCTGGGGTAGGGATGGGGTCTTTGGCACCTTCTTATGTGCAGTGCTTTACGTGGTGTCTGGCACGTAGTGGGCACGCAACTGATGCGGAACTGAACGGAAGTGAGCTTCGTCTTCCAAGGCCGTCAGCCAGCACTCGGGATTGAGCACCTATGGCTGGATGGAGCCGTAGAGAACTCTGGGAGGGGGTTGGGGGGAGGTGGCTTGATCCTTGCCCTCCAGGTTCTGCTAGTCTAACCAGAGAAGTAGGTCACCCACAACGAAGGGGAGAAAAGCACTCGAGGCATCCCTTTGTGAAGACTTTTAAAGGTCTGCAGTCACTAGCGATAAAATTCTGCACTCTTGAGGAATCACTCGGACCTGGAGTTCCAGCCTGAGTGCAGCTCTGACGCTACTTGTCAAGGGCGGACGCGCGGACGGATAAACTGGGAGGACTGAGTGAGGGAAATCAATGGGGGCTCGGGCTTCTAGCCCCGCCTTTTCCTACCACCAGTGGGGGCTCGGGCTTCTAGCCCCACCCCTTTCTGCCACCAGTGGGGGCTCGGGTTTCTAGCCCCGCCTTTTCCTACCACCAGTGGGGGCTCGGGCTTCTAGCCCCACCCCTTTCTGCCACCAGTAGGGGCTCAGGCTTCTAGCCCTGCCTTTTTCACGCGAATCTGGGCAAGCCGCCACTATTCCCCGCCTCAGTTTCCTTGCGTGTAATAGTTAGGGATTGCGTGATGAGACTTTTATGACCCCACTGGCTCTAACGTTCGATGATCCTAAGGCACAAGATGAATAATCAGAAGAAGCCAACTCCCTCCACCACTTGGATGTGTTAGAAGAAAGCGGGGTGTCCCCCACTAGGTTTCCTCCACCCCAAGCCTGGCAGCCATGGCTCTCTTGCTTGCCCCCAGTGATGTGGTCTTGGAAGCTCCCTGACCCCCTCTCAGTGGAAATTATAGGGGAGCATGTTTTAGCAAGAGTCTTCTAACAGAGCTCCCCGACTCTCAATCAGCTGTCTCCCCTAGAAGCCGTAAAGTCTCCACCACTGAAGCATTGACCCAAGAGCTGGACCGCCACGTGTCAGGGATGTGTCTGCTTTGGGCGGGGGATGGACCATGGGACCCCGAGGCCCCTTCTGACAGTAAGATTAGCAGTTCTCTTAATGGAGAGAGAAGAGCCTGGTAGACTAGGCCAGGAAAGACTTCCAGAAGGATAAAAAGGACCTAGCTCTGTGAGGCAGATGAATGCACGAGGATGGCCTCTCAAGCCAGGGCAGCAGAGGGGAAGGCTGAGGTGCACCTAACACGACCCACAGAGAAAGAGAGCCGAAGCCCCAACAGCCCACAGCACATCCAGACAGGTGTTCTACTGGGGTGGGGGTGGGGGTGGGGGGCTGGAAGCCACTGAGTTCAGGGGCTGGACGGTGAACCCTGGGGGTGGCGGGGGAAGTGGGGGCTTGACATCTCAGGCCCTGACGCCTGAGGATGAGGACTGAACCTGTCATCTACACTTTCCTATTTTACGTCCAGATCTCAAAGGGGTTGTGTCGGCCAAGAATGACATCCGAGTGGAGATTGTCCATAAGGAGCCTGCTTCCGGCCGGGAGGCTGAGGAACACCCCACCATCAAGCAGCTGATGGTGAGAATGCCATCTTATCCCCACCCCATCCCGATCTCTGTGTCCCGAAGGTCCTGGTTCCAGAGGCTTCTTGGTGGCCTGGATGCTCCCGAGAAGCAGAGCATCGGTCAAGATGTGCCCTACCCCCATAATAGGTCAGGCACCCATTCTCCGCCAGCAAAGAGTTATTGTCTGTCTGCTACATTGCACTTGGTGTTCTGGGAGACTCAAAGCCATCTAAGATGCCATCCCAGCTTTCAGGGAACCTGACTGTTCAGTAGAGAGACAACACATGCATAAAGTGCCATAATATGCTGTCACTTAGTACATAATTCTTTTTTTTTTTTTTTTTTATTTATTTGAGAGAGAGAGAATGAGAGATAGAGAGCACGAGAAGGAAGAGGGTCAGAGGGAGAAGCAGACCCCCTGCTGAGCAGGGAGCCCGATGTGTGGGACTCGATCCCGGGACTCCAGGATCACGACCTGAGCCGAAGGCAGTCGCTTAACCAACTGAGCCACCCAGGCGCCCCAGTACATAATTCTATACACACATGAATATGATAGATATTCAGTACATGCCCTGCCCCTCCCCCAAACCCAGCCCCAAAAGTCTACAAGAAATACAGGTTCCTCTTCAGGAACCCGAGTGCTCACCAGAAAAAAACTCATTAACTTCTTCAGCAAACCTAAGCCTGCCGCTCTTCCTGCTTCCTGTTACTAGACCATAATCCACCCAGCTGTACAAGCAGAAACCTGGGAAACTGTGCTAGAAAACTCTAGGGCATACTATGTCATGGTTCAAATACCTTGAGGGAGTAGCAGCAAGCCCGGGGTGAAGAGCAGGGAGCCTGCCTGTGCCTCAGTCTCCCCACCTGTGAAGTGGGGATGAAAGTCGTAGCGCACAAGGCCGTGGTGACGGCCGAATGAGTAAACCCATAAAGGACTTGGAGCCTGTAGAACACAGTAAGTGCTCAGGAAATGTTAGCCACTGTGTTGCTGTAAAATCACCCTTTCCCTTATCTGTCTCCGCTAGATGGTGAGCAAGCTGCCTTGTTCATCCCCGAGACTCCAAAGACTCTCAGCCCCTGGTGGAGGCTCAGCAACATGATTGAGCTGAACTGACATTTTCCTCACCCGGTCTTTTTCTTTCCAAATCTCATTCTCTGGTCCTTTCAATTCCACTTCAGAAACTTTCTCAAAATGTGTGCCCTTGCCCCTGTCCCCTTATGACTTCCCTGATGGGGCCTTATCGTGGCTCCCTGGACTAGTACCACAGCCTAGTGGTCTCACCACCTTGTTTTTTTTTTTTTTTTTAAAGATTTTCTTTATTTATTCATGAGAGACAGAGGGAGAGAGAGAGAGAGAGAAGCAGAGGGAGAAGCAGGCTCCCAAGGAGCAGGGAGCCCGATGCGGGACTCGATCCCAGGACCCCGGGATCATGACCTGAGCCGAAGGCAGATGCTTAACCATCTGAGCCACCCAGGCGCCCGACCTTGGTTTTTTTTTCTTTTTTTTTAACCACCTTATTCAATCCACCCTCCAGAGTCCCACAGAAAGGGTCCTTCTAGAACGAAAATTGGATCCTGTTACTCTCCTACTTAAAATCCCTCAGTGGCTCCCCCTGTCTACTAGATAAAGTCCAACCACCAAGCATGTCTCAGGCCCTTCATGGAGAGGTGGCAGCTGCTGGCCGTTCCAGCTCCATCTTCCTACTAAATGTACCCGGCCCTCCAGACACCCCAAAAACTTGCTGTTCCCAGCCTTTGAGTCTTTTATACCTCTGAGACTTTACACAGGCCTGTTGATCTTGCCTATTAAATTTCACATTCTCCTAGGAGAATCAGCTCAAATGTCACTCCCTCCATCATTCTCCATGCTTGTCCCTAACCCTCTCCCCCTCCCCACTGCTGGCAGAGCTACACACTTCCTGCTCTCCTCAAACACGTTGCATGCTCCTCTTTCATAGTGCATTGCTCGGATTACACGTCAGCTCCCCGATTATCTCAGAGTTCCAGAAGGGCACATTCCCAAATCTATGCGTATCTGCTTCCCCCCAGGCCAAACACAGTGCCTGACACAGGAGAGCAATTAATCTTACAAGAGTGGAAACCAGAGCCTAGATCCAAGAAGGAATGGATGTCTCTGTAGATGAGCTTCATCAAGGCTGGTGTGGAAGTATCCTGACGTGTCCTTCCTCCCAAAAAGGACCTTTAATTCCCTCCCACTGGGACATCCTGATTGCCTCAGAGTGTCTCCACACCCTGCAATCCAAACTCTTGAGAAAGAGTGGGGGGGTCTCTCAGTAGTCAGTTAAGAGGATGTGTGAGGTTGGGTGGGGGGAGGGACCCTGGCAGAGGGACCTGCTGGGAGCCTCCCCTCCCCCACTCCCCCCACCCCCTGGCCCCTGTAAGGCCCCAACATTGATGAGAGGTAGGCTTAGAAGTTGAATCTGGTGGGAAAGCCCTCCAATCCAGGCAGACACAGAACATTTACTGGAAAATGAAAAAAAGCAGCATCAGTGAGGGCGAAACAGAATGGAAACCCTCTGGCTGATGCCATGAGGCTCCGAAAAGAGACCAAGAAAGTGAGTCACAAGGGAGAAGAGTGGGTGGGAGGCTGTCCTAGATCATGTCGTATGCAGAAGTGACACCCGGGAAGCATCTGTGTGCCACAGGATAAGTAAGCGTCACCGTGGTTATCCAGACTCATGTACCCACCGTGTGCCAAGCATGCTTGATTTTCCACCTTCCATCTAACTGTTACTTCCATGTTCAGTGATGGAGAGCTATGCCATTCCATTCATTCATCCAACACAAACATAACATTTGCAACAGCCCTACGGTCTACCAGGCACTGTGCTAGGCATGACAAATTAAAACAGTTACCTGTGATTTCACGCCCAAAGCATTTTGGTCAATGACCACAATAGACAAGGCACTGTGCCAGGTGGGCTGGGGACCCAAAGAGAAGCTAAAAGTGATCCTTGCCCCAAGGTTCTTTGGCCTCTGTTAGGAAGGTAACGTTTAGTACATCGAAGCCATTGCTATGAATAACAGGTGTGGCCCATGTTGCCAGCATCTCACAGGTAGTACTGCACTGTGATTCTTTCCTAAGACCTTCACGGAGCCTAGCACTGGGTGATGCGCTGCCCTGCTGGGACCCCAGACTGTGCCCTCTGAACCCAGAGGTTCTGTAATTATTTATCTACACACCCAGCTCCCTGTTGTGTATAGCCCTATCTTAATGTCCCTCCGTGTGTGTATGCCTGGCCTGAAATTCAGTAAATGCTCCATGAATCGACTTGAATCATCCAAGTGAGATCTCGGGAGGTCATGCCCTAGCCCAAGGGAAGAAAGTGTGGTCTTAGCAAACTGCCCCGCCCCCCACTCCTCCTGTCTCTCCCTGTCTCTCAGGACAGGGATGCAGGAACGATGATGACATCTGGGATCTCCCCATGCCTCCTCCACCTGCCGTCCATGGGCCAGCCAGGGACAGGTGGTGGGGAGGGGGAGACAGAGACGGCAGGCTTCTTTTGAGTTCATTCCTCTATCTTTTCCTTGCGGGAAGTGGACGCTTAGCCCACCTCCAATCCACTGAGCAGCCATTTTCGGGTTGTAGATGGACCGGGGTGAATTCCAACAAGACTCAGTACTGAAGCAGCTGGAGGTTCTCAAAGAAGAGGAGAAGGAGTTTCAGAACCTGAAGGTAAGAATAGCCACAAGTTGGAAGTCACAGCTGTGGAATCCTGACTTCAGCCCTCATGCCTTAAGGCCCAGATCCAGACAAACAAAGACGGGAAACGAGGAGGCCAGAGGTCACCTTAAGGACAGGTGCCTAGTCTCTCTCTCTCTCTCTCTCTCTCTCTCTCTCTCTCTCTCTCTCTCCCCCCCCCCCGGAGGTGGGACGCTCGCCTGCCCCAGGAGGCGGGAGAGTGAAGGCTGCGGTCCCACGGTCCTCCTCTCCCACAGCTTCCTCACAAACACCGTTTTTAAATTAAGTAGCCATGTTCTGGACAAAAACACAAAAACCCTTCAAGGTCGGCTTCTCAGCAGCCTCTGCCCCGCCCCGACCTAGTGACACGTGGCGCGTGGAGCGCCCCCTGCCGCATGCCCTCGGCCCCTCGCCCCCGCCCCTGCGGCCGCCGCAGTACCCGCCCGCCCCCTCCCCTCCGTGCCACGCGGCTCCTTCCAGCCGCCGCCCCGTGCCCGCCGTTGTCCCCTTCCCCCCCGTGCCAAGGAGGACTGCCTCGGAAGGCTGTGCCCGCCGGGTGACGCTGCTCTCGCTCTGGCCCCCTCCCAGGACCCCACCAATGGCTACTACAGCGTCAACACCTTCAAAGAGCACCACTCGACCCCCACCATCTCGCTCAGCAGCTGCCAGCCGGACCTGCGCCCCGCGGGCAAGCAGCGCGTGCCCACGGGCATGTCCTTCACCAACATCTACAGCACCCTGAGCGGCCAGGGCCGCCTCTACGACTACGGGCAGAGGTTCGTGCTGGGCATGGGCAGCTCGTCCATCGAGCTCTGCGAGCGCGAGTTCCAGAGGGGCTCCCTCAGCGACAGCAGCTCCTTCCTGGACACGCAGTGTGACAGCAGCGTCAGCAGCAGCGGCAAGCAGGACGGCTACGTGCAGTTCGACAAGGCCAGCAAGGCCTCTGCTTCGTCCTCCCACCACTCCCAGTCCTCTTCCCAGAACTCCGACCCCAGCCGACCCCTGCAGCGGCGGATGCAGACTCACGTCTGAGAATCCCAAACCGGCGCTGGGGAGGGCTGGGGAGGGCTAGGGAAGGGGCGGGGGGAGCGTGCCACCTTCTGGCTCTCCAGAGACTGTGGGTGCTTTGCAGAGCACCCCAGAACCGGCCGCCTCCAGGACAGCACCCCCACGCCCCGTGCCTCTGCGACCGCCCTCCTCCGAAGCCCCTGATCAAGCACAAACCCGGGTCCCCAGCTGCAGCGGGGCCAGAGGCGGGCGGGTGGGGACGCGGTCGGAGGATGCAGCTGAGTGCGCTGTGCTCGGTGCTGGGCCCTCCGGTCCGGCCTTTTCCTGGAGGCCCTCCCCCTACAGGCACTCGAGGCAGCTAGAACTTTGCTTTAATGAAACTGCCGTCCACTCTCCGGCCTCCCCCTGAGCTCTACCTTGTGCTGCCCACAGCCCTACCCCTGTACCTATTGCTCCTCCACAACGCTGGGGAGAAGGGGGGTGAAGCGCGTCCCAGCACTGGGCTGCCCCCCAACACCAGACCCCCCCCACCAGCGCCCCCTGCTGCTCAGAGCCCAGACCCTGGATGCTGAGAAGCCAGAAATGGCCCCGGAGCATCTCTCCTGCCACACTGGCTGTGAGCCCACCCCCAATTTGTTCGGTGTTTTGTGTCCATACTCTTGCAGTTCTGTCCTTGGACTTGAGGCCTCTGAACTCTGAGGTGGGACTGGCCCAGTCGGAGACTGATGTCCTGGGAGGGAGAGGGAGGGGTAGGAGGGAACATGGGCGCACCTGGGGAACCTCGCTCAACACTCCCGTCCTGCAATTCAGAGCCTCCCCACCCACCCCTGCTTCCTGTACTGTCCTCTTGCCCTCCAGCACAATCGGGGTTAATATAAGAAGTGTGAGAGCTTCTCTGGGTCCGGGTTCTTCCAACAGTCATTGCAGGGAGTGTTTCCTGGAGCACGTAGGGCTTAAGGAGACTAGGGGTCAGGTCTTTAAAACCCGCACATACTTTGCCTCCGCCAACAAGGAACAAGGATCTAAGAACAGTTGCAAGGTGGTGTGGTGCACAGGAAAATGATGACTTAAAGATTCGTCTATTAATTCCTTCCAGCCTTCCCCACCCTGGAGGTGGGTGGCACATCTGCCACCTAATTTTCACCACACCTTCATTGCCCTTTACCCCTTGCCCCAGCCACATACACATATACAGTTCTCGTGAAAGGGTGGAGGTGCCCATTCTTGCCTTGAAACTCAGGTTATGACGGCATAACCAGAAGAACAAGTAAGCATACTGTTCTCCCATAGAACAGAAGGAGTTCTGTCCCTCTCGAGCTTCAGGTACTCTGGGTAAGAATGTGAACTATCATGGCAGCAAGCAGAGAGCACAGGGCCTGCGTCATCAAGACTTGGCCACGCAAGTCCCAACCCCATGAGCTCTCTCCAATGCATGAATCCCTCAAAGAATTGCTGAAGGGGTAGGAGGTCACAAGTAAGAACTCTGTGAAAGAGAAGAACAGAGAGCGGGGAGGGGGGGGGGATTAGCAACACCTGGAGGCTTCTGGAAAGTGGCGGCCTTGAGAAGGAGCCTAGACTGCACTCCGTGCCCACCTCAGTTGTCCCCAGCCCTATTTCCTTCCTGCAGAAGAGTGAGGGGCACAAAAAAGCTGGTAAAGGGAGGGGTTAAAAAAAGGTTTTGAGGCAGAGGGAAGCCCTGGATTCTCCTGTAGGTGATTTCAAATGAACTGAAATGAGTGCTTTACAGCTGTAATCTTATTTAATCTTCACAAAGGATCACCATTTTACAGACCAGGGAATGCGGCTTCAAGAAGCCCAAGGTCACAGGCTAACAAGTGGCAAATGTGTCATTATACACACATGATCTCCCCTGTGAAGTATTTCCATCCAAAGCACAAACTCAAGGCCGCGGTCATCCTAGAATATGATGAAAACGGCTGACGGTAAAGGCCACCTGCTAGTTCCCACTCTGGGGCAGGCTCAGCAAGGAGGGACCACAGCTCTGTTAGGAAGGCAGGCGGGACTGGCATCCTCCACCTCAAGTCCCCAGGCGACCTGGACAGACCGCACTCCTGCCAAACAAAGCCATCCTGTGTATCCAGTCACCCTCACCCCCACCCAGACCAGTATCTAGTTTTCTGATAGCGTTAAAATTCATTATTGGCTCCGAGGCCCTGGATGGGAGCCCGGTTTCTGATTCTCAGGCTCGCTATCAGTCTGGAAAGCCCGGGGTCATTTCCAGTACCTCTTCAACTTTCATGGAACAGGAAACACTTTCACATGATGAGCTAGAATACCACAGCAAATCCGTTTCTGATGAAGCTGATTGAACCAAGTGCTCTAAAGTAATAGGGCCTCAGAGCTGCCCTTGAGCTTCCGGAGTGGAGAGGACCCAGGGAAAAGAAAATAAACATGAGGCCGTCCTTGGGAGGCTTCTCGGAACAGCAGAAAAGGAGCCAACGGGAAATCCATTTCTCACTGCCTGCATGGGAGGGACACAGGGGGTGTAAGGCATGTGCTGTTATGGAACTTGAACCAAAATCCCAAGGTCCACACCCCAGATTCCATTAGCTCTGCCCAGGTATCGTGTGTGCGGTTTATGAGGGCACCAGAAAAAAAGACCAAGGCGGGCTGGGGGGGGGGGGGAGGTCCTGCCATTAGCTTATGCTCTAGGAAGTTTCCCTACAAAATAAACTCTTTATTAAATTAGAAGTATAAGTAATTTAAATAAAAACGATCTTAATTTGTATAGAGATTTTTATTTAAAATACCACTTGCTGTGCTTATTTTAAGACTAAGGACATCTCCGCTAAATCTTAAATTTTACTTCCCTTTTACAAAAGTCTTTTTAAAAAAAACCCTCTTATCTAAGTTGTTTTTAGGAGATGTAACCGTATAGCAGCCATTTATTTGCAGCTTTAGCATCAAAATTACCAGCAGTCTTTGAGAATCACTGATAAGGAGCTCTCACTCTCACTCTGATGGTTACTTCTTGTTAGTGGTAAGGCTCCAAACATCTTTTCCGCAACCCCCTTTCAGTCTCTCTAACTAGGTCATAAACTGGGGAAAATGAGACAATTTCAAGCTAGTCGTCTGTCTAAAAATAAAGATTTGTTTCCCTGGATGAATACGTGTTTGTTATAAGGAGAGGAGGACCATCCGTTCTGTCTCTCTCTAACTGCTATTCCTCCTGGGTCCATCTCCCCCTCCTCTCTAACGGCTAAGTCTTTGACAGACGCTAAAAGCTTTCATTATCACAGGCCCTGTAGGTTTCTTCATTCCGACACAGCCGTCATCTTTAAAAGGCCTTTTGTGGACACACACCATTCACAAGAGACATCGTTGACTTGTGGTCGACGTCCCTGGTGCCACTCCATGTTCCCAGAGCTCCTCTCTGGGACAGTCCACTCAGCCCACCCCCAGGGCTAGGACGTCCTCAACCCCTGAGCTTGCTGATCAGGGACCCTGAGCTATGCAAAGACATCTCTTTCCTTTCCTTCTTAACCTATGGCCCTTGGAAATATATATATTTTTTTAAGATTTTATGTATTTATTTGTCAGAGAGAGAGAGAGAATGCGCACAAGCAGGGCAAGCAGCAGGCAGAGGGAGAAGCAGACTCCCCGATGAGCAAGGAGCCCGATGCGGGGACTCGATCCCAGATGCCTAACCGAATGAGCCACCCAGGTGTCCCGGTCCTTGGAAATATTTTGGAGTGCTAAGAAACCATTCGAATAATGCTCCCTTTTAACCGTCCTCTGTGCCGTGAATCCAAATTGTTGATGTTCAAAGACAAGGTGAATGAAGTCTCAGGAAACAGGTCTTCTTTGGGAGAATCTGGGTCTTAGTTAACTGGGGCTTCTCCGAAATCTGTTACCAATTATGCAAGGGGAAAAGTGCTCCTCGAGATAGGAGCTGAATATGGGGACTTATCCCCTTGAGGGTCACCTTCAATTAGGCAAAGACATTGTCGGGGGGATTAAATTAAAAGATACCACTTTTACCCCCTTTGCAAGGAAATTAGAGGGCCCTGCTGCCCGTAGGCAGTGTATCCATGACACTAACGGACATTGCACTTGGGAGAAATACTGAATGAAGAAGGAATTTTCTGAGAAGAACCTCCTCTCTGACTTTTAATTTAAAAGTCTCTCTAGCTCTCCTGCCATGTGTGGCTATAGGAGTGGGACAGAAACCTACCGAGAAAAAGAACAGACAGGAGAGACTCTCCCTACCAGATTCTAACTTCTACTTTTGTGAGTTTTTTTCCTCAGGAGAGAAATACATCTTTAAGCAGAGAAGATACTCCTTGAGTGTTAAAGTTGGTGATGTATGTAAATAGTGTTTTAGGAAGCCTCAGAATAATAGATGGTTCTGGAATAGCTTAGTTCAGTAATTCCAACTTTTATCCCCTAGGGTGATTTCAACATCTGAGCCTTCCCTCATTCCCTCCGCTCAGCTCCACCCTCCCAGTCTTGCCATGAGAGAGAGCTGTGCCTCTATCTAGGGGTGCGTGGGCTTTAAATTGTTGATCTTCTCCAGGAACCTAAAATCAACCCCCAAAAGTTCATTTTTCCCTAAAAACTTTTGTCAAATCGTCTGTGCTAACCCCTCCTAGACAGGACTGTGGTCTCTCCCACCTGCTCCCAGCTCTCTGTAATCACTTTCCATGAAGTGGAGCCTTCAGATACATTTGCCGCTCCCCCCCCCCGACCCCAACAAATCTGACACCTAACAATGAGCTTCAAGGTTCATTTCTCGGGCACAGGATCCCCCAAGTGTCTCATGAGCCGTAAACTCACTGCGAAAGAACTGGACAGGAAAACAGGCTAACACTACAGACACTCACCACACATCCCTCCCTAAACTTTTAAGTTGGAAAGTTTTCCTGGAACCGCATCCGGGTGCAGAACCATGGGAATGCTCAAAACTAACAGTTTTCTGAAGCTATGATTAAGGCATCGAAAAGGTCGGAGGGTCTAGAGAAGAGCATCCCAACTCTGAGATCTTGTCCTTGTCAACCTCGGTTTAGGAACCTCCTCCTGCATGCCATCAGGATGGATCACGTTGCCCAAGAAACCGCTTTCTCCAAAAACCCCTAAAGGCATCTGACTTCAACTTGAAAACCACTGCCAGAGAGCAGTTTGAAATCACTGTGCATTGTTTGATTATGCAAAGCCTGCATTTGAGTCATTTTGCCAATGTCGTATTTAGCTTGTGGGTGATTTGAAGACAAAGGCTTTTCTGTAACCAGCCATCTTAGTACCTGGGCAAATATTTGGCCCTCCAGATGTGTACCTCACCTGTTTCGTACGCTTCCCGGGACTTCCCATCATGTGAGGCAGCTTTCCAATCTAATATTTATATCTTACTTTACAGTCTACACCATCTTTTCACAACCGTATTCCCATTAGATCCTTAAAACCTCACTGTGAGATGGGCATGCGTGATACAGATGGAGGTGCAGAGGTGTACTTGGGTAATTACATGACAGAGCAGGGAGAACCCACGATCCAACCGTCCGTATTTTGTGTGTACTACGCCTTGCCGCCTCAAAGACAGAACTGTTTCCAACCAAGCTCAAATTTTTTCATAAGCTAGACAGCCTCCGGAGTAAAGCAACTGGATGTACTTATGTCCTCAGAAAGTGTAAATAAAAACCCGAAGTGTCCAAAATTAAGGCAACACGATGTGTTGTGAATATAGAATATCATTTATTTAAATGTGTTCCTGAGCTAGGTAAAAGGCTTAAACTCTTGTCTTGCCCAGCTAGGTGGTCGAGCTGGGGCGGGGCGGGGGGGAATCCCTTCACTTCTCCGGGCCTCCGTTTCCCCCACTGTTCACACCGGATGGAGCTCTCTTCTGCTCCCTCGCAGTCCAAGTCGGCTTCGCCCCGGCCTCTGCGGTGAAGTCACCGGAGGTCACGTGAAGGAGCCCAGCGGGAGACAGAGGAGTTCCGGTCTACAGGGGCTGAGCAAACAGGGCTGAGCAAACCCGGGAAGAAGGGCGTGGACCCACCCCACCACCGCCCCAGCCCGCCCTGGACTCCCCTCTACAGCCGTCGCCAGGCCCTGAGCCGGTTGCCAGGGAGGCGCCGGCCTCAGACGAGGCGCGGCGCTGGGGTGAGCGCCCCAGAGGACTCCGGGCAGACTGCGGGAGGTCGTCGTCCGTCCCCACCCGCTTCCCACAGCGGCCAGCGCCGGCCCCGCGCCCGCGACGCATGCGCGCCCCGGCCTCCGCCTTCGCCGCCGCCGCCGCCGCTGGGGGCGCGGCAAACTGAGAGCCCTGGCTGCTGCGTGGCCCGCCGCCCGCGGGAGAGAAGCGCGCGTGCGCCTAATTAACACCCCTCAGGGACGCCTGGGATCGGGTTGGGCTGTGCGCGCGCAGACCGTGGAGTTGAAAGAGGCCGTGAGCTCCTCCTGGAATCTAGACTGCTGGAGCGGTGGTTCTGGGTGCTTGTTAAAAT